TGTGTGTGTGTGTGTGTTTGTTTCTGACTTTCTTTTTTAAACTTCTCTCCTCCCCATCTTATTTAGTTCAAATTTAATAGAAAAATGGGCTTCCCACTGTAGCATGGCACTCCAGTGGCTAGGTGCTGACTGTTTGTTCCAGTTTTGGACGTCAGGCTGGATGGAAGCATGCCCAGCTGTCAGCCAGCTAAGTGCATGTTCCCTGTTTGTCAGTGACCTGAACGGTGTCGGATTCTCTTGCACATAGTTGCCGACAGAAGTTCCATTCACAGTGATATTTTTCATTAGTGATGAAGAAGCTTTTGAAGATGAGCCTTTCAAACTGTGATCTTGAGCAATACTGTGCTCAAGGATGTTTTCATCCGTGCTCTGTGACAGATATGAAAATCGACAGAGGCACCACTTACTTCACAGTTGAATACTTAAAATTTTCTTTTCTGCCACTGAAGTAATGATCTGTGTGGGGCACACAGATGTGAAGTCTAGAATAAAAGACTCCATCAGCAAATGCTTTACCTCCTAGGAAGATGGCTCAGTGGGTAAAGCATTTGCTGTGCACTCATGTGGACCAGAGTTCAGATCCCTAGCTCCCATGTCAATGCAAGGCAGATGTGGCAGCCTGCCCCTATTCTCAGTGCTTGGGAGGCAGCCCCAGGGCAAGCTGGGTAGCAAGTTTTGGGTTCAAGTGGGAGACCTTGTCTCAGTGTATGAAGTGGAGCATGATATAGGGCGACACCTGACATCAAAAGCTGGTCTCTACATGCATGTGCACTGTATCTGTTGTGACTCATACACTGTGTGAACATACATATGTACATGCATACCATATACATACACACACATACCAAACAAAGCAATAATCATTAAAAAAGAACACAGGATATTCTTTGTGGTTAGATAGGCTTGCCTCTGCAGTGGCCATCTGGTCTAACAGTTGTGGCCTTGAAGTTGGGCCAGGATGCCCAGTTTGGAGCATTTCCTGAAGACATTTTGCTATCGGTACTTGTGATACAGAATTTTTCTAGTTAGAAGCCACTGACACCAACGAGAAAGCGACCTCATATTTATCTTTGTGGTGCATCCTGGGCCTAGGATATCCTATGCATCTATTCATATCCTAAAAAGAATACCAAAAGTGCACAGACAAAACCATTGTCAGTTAGAAAGGCTGTGTTAGCAGCTACCTCAGGTAGGGAAGACATAATGTTTGAAGGGTAGACTTTTGATAGACTTTTCAAAAAGCTCCATTAATTCTTATTTTTCACATCTTTACTAAGAGTCAGACCAGCTTACCAGGAACTAATCAGTTGGCCAGTTGTTTTTATTTGACATGCAGTTGATTGAGTTCACTCTCCCACACCATATTGTTTTGGGGAAGTTGTAAAAATATATTAAAGAGATATCATCTTCTTTCCAAAATAGCCTCCTTTCCCAGTGCCCACTGCCCACCACCCACCAAGAGGTTAAAAGAAAAAGATGCCAGGACAGAGAAGTGGAAACCTCCTGACTGTGGCCCAGGGTTGTGGGGGTCTCCAGCCTGGGAGTGGAGGGCAGCCAGCAGTCTCCAGTCTCAGTGCCACTGTCCTTGAGTGGGCTGCTGGGAAGCCAGAGGTGCAGTAGGGTTGGGCAGGATGTAGCAGATGGTCAAGTCTTGCCACAGGGACAGAAAACACAGAAGAAATGAACAGTGCAGAGAGGCAAAGAGATGTTCCCAAGCGAGGGACGCAGAGGAGTGAGGGCAGTCTTGGGGTGGCAGGGGAATGGAGCCCCGCAGTGGGCCCTCTGTGTGGTGTGGGTACGTCAGAGGATATAAGGCAGCAGAGCTACAGAGAGGAGAAGGTTCCCTGGTACCAGGGAGAGGTAGGTGGGACAATCCGTGAAGGCCACAGGTGGAAATCTGAGAACAGAGGGCAGGAGAGGAGAGTCTTCAAGGCCAGTCTTCAAGGAACAACTCAGAAAGGAAAAATGCCCAGTCCCCAAGTTCTTGGAACCAGTGTGACTCGAGGGAGACAAGCAGAATGTCACTTGGAACTGGTGTGCCCACTCCTGAAGAAGGCTGGAAGGGCTGGGCAGCCTGCTCTACTGTGCTTCGCCCCATTCTGCGTGGGGGCTAGAAGGTCCTGTGGTCCATCAGTTGCAGCTCAGGGGATCTGCATGGCCTGTCTGGCTCCAAGGCCTTTGCTGGAGCTGGCCCCTCTGCCCGAGAGAGGCAGCTGAGGATGCACTTCTGGTGTTGATACCTCTACCTGTGACTCTGGCTGCTTGTCCAGCTTAGGGGGAGAGGAAAGTGCCAGGTGCCTCAGCATTCAGGGGGAGATCTGGTAGTGGTTGCTGAGCTTAGGCCTTGCTTAGACAACCTGCTGGCCAGAAACTGGCCTTGTCTAGTACCTGTCTGCTTCTTTAGTACCTCAGCTGAAAGACAAAGCTGATGCAGGCATTGCCATTGTCCCAAGTCAAACCCTTATCTATCACTGGGACGGCATGCGTTTGAAAACTCTTCTGGGCTTATTTTTGTTGTGTCTGCCTTGGTCTCCGAGACAGTCAAACGTGGGTGTCTTGTGTAGGCTTTTGCCTGCTGCTGCTGCTGCTGCTCTAAGATTTTGGGAATGCAGAGGTGATACCTAGGGGCATATATATGGGTGATGTACTTCTTTCTCTGGGCAATAACCTTGCATTGCTTGGTGTGACCAGCTCAATCCTCCTACTCTGCATGAAGAAGTGGCATTCTTGGCATTCTTTGCTACCATCTTATTCTTACTACACAGTGGTAGACTTTGTAGATGTTGGTGTCTGGTTGCCTGTGAGCAGTATGGTGTTTGAAAGTCATGGTTCAGGTTGTTGCTGATTATTTGGGAAGTGGCACTTGAGGCATCATAGGCAAGGTTGCCTGGGAGGGAGCTGTGTTTACAGGGTGCTGACAGAGGCACCTTTGCACAGGTCCCAGCAACGCACCACTTGTACTGGAGGATGGTGATGATATTGCTGATCATAGTTCCACCCAGCTCATTCTTGGTATCCTTGTTGAGATCTATAACGCTTGTCTTGCAGTATGAGGTTCTGAGTTCAAACCCCAGCATGGTGGTATGCTTGGTGCTAAACTTGTTATATAGTCAAGGATGACCTTGAACTGATCCTGGGATTACAGGTGTGCACCACTATGTCCAGTTTATACAGTGCTGGAGGTCCAACCCAGGACTTTATGTGTTCTAGGCAAGCAATGGTGCTACATCATGGAGAGAATGGCCTGAGTGAGTGCAGCTTCTGAGGAGTTGTGTGTAATTCTCATTTCCTGGCACAAAGTGAAACACTTAAAGGGCCTGCCTGAGGATGTCAGAGTCAGTCAGAACTTGTTTTTGAAGTGTAGGGAGAAGAATCGTGGCCAGGGAGATGATGGCATCAGAAACTGGTCACTTCTGAGTAGATGTAGTTCTTTTTTTGTATGTGCATGCGTACAGGACCACCTCAAGTGTCGTCTGCCTTCCTCCTCTGAGACAGGCTCTCTCACTGGCGAGGCTCACTACGCAGGCTGGGTTAGCTGACTGGGAGGGACCCAGGGGTCTGTCTGCACACACCACCGTGCCACGCTTGGGTCCTAGGGTGTGCTCTCAGGTCCTCATGCTGTGTGACAAGCGTCTAATTGACTAAGCCATCTACCTCCCCAGACCTCCAGTGGATCTAATTCTTTAAAGAGGCTGGCATTCCTCTGGAACATGCTATTAATTAATTGCAGTATGATGCCTCTGGTTAATTGGATCCTGGAGAGCATGTTGAAACCTGAACTGTATGAGACTCTGTCCCTGTCTCATCCTTCTGCCCTGTCTCCCTCCAAAAAAAGACAAAGAGAAAGGAAGAGCCTCATCAGAACAATTGAAATATAAAAGGAAGAGAATGTTTTGTCAAATATTTTTAATCATTTATAAGTTAGTTCATCATCATATCAGTTTATAGGTTAATATATAGCTACAACTTTTGGTATTTTTATAAGAAATTGCCTTTAAGCCAGGTGTAGTGCACATGTATGAAGTCCAAACATTTGGGAGGTGGAGGCAAGAGAATTAGGAAGTCAAGTCCTCCTTGGCTAAATAGTGAGTTTTAAGCCAGCCTGAATTGTGTAGGACTTTATCTCAAAAAAAAAAAAAAAAAAAAAAACACATGCACAAAAGAAGAAAAATTCTATTTGATTTAAATTTGATTCTTCATTAAATAAATAAAACCCAACCAAACAAACCCTGAGTCCTTTCATAGCTGCCCCTACTCTACAGATGGGGATTGAATAATCTAGAACCTTGTGCACACTAGGCAAGTACTCTGACCACTGTGAGCTACGTTCCCCCTCAACTTACTTTTTTTTGTTTTCGTTTTTGTTTTTTTAAGAGTCAGGGTCTCAAGCTGGGCGGCAGTGGTGCATGCCTTTAATCCCAGCACTTGGGAGGCAGGGGCAGAGGCAGGCAGATCTTTGTGAGTTTGAGGCCAGCCTGGGCTACAGAGTGAGTTCCAGGAAGGGCTCCAAGGCTACACAGTTATTTTTGACTGTCTCAAAAAAAACCAAAAACCAAAAAAAAAAAAAAAAAAAAAAAGAGTCAGGGTCTCTGTGTAGCACAGGCTGGCCCTGAACTCATGATCCTCTGCTTCTGGATTGAGTGCTAGAATAATTCATGAGTAGTTTTGTTTTGTTTTTAACATAGTTTCCCATTCATTTTACATTCAATCAAGTTTTGAATTAAATTGTATTATTGACTATAATAATAATCTCTTTATCATATGTCAGTGTGCTTATAATAAAACACTTGTTCTAGAAGTATAAGGGGAAAACAAGACTGTTGAGGGCTAGATGTGGTAGATCGTAGCTCTAGTCCTAGCACTTGGGAGGCTGAGGCAGGAGGATTGCCATGAGTTTAAGGCCACAAAGTAAGACCATCTCAAAACAAAACAACAAAAAAACAAAAAACAAACAATAACAACAACTTAAAACGCCTGCTGACTCCTTGAATTCTTATTAGTTTGAAGGGATGTATAAGAATGAAGCAGTAAGCCAGCAGATTCACGTTCTGCAAAAAGAAGTAAGGCAGTTCCAAGCAGAAGCTGCTCAGCCTCCTGCACTTAACGTTGTGGAAGCTGCTGTGCATGCAGAAAACCTGATCACGTAAGTCCTGGTGACATCCCATTTCATATCAGCTTTGTTGAGAGTAGTCACCCATAGTACTTCACCTCTCCCCCCCACAGTCAGTTAGTATGCAAACAGCAAACTGGGTCCTTTGGGTCCAATCTGAGTAGCTCTGTTTTTACAAATAGTCTGACTGGAGCATAGCCATTTCTGTGGCTCACAGTGGCTCTGATTTACAAGCGTCAACAACAGAATAGACTGTTCATGATGCTGCTTTTGGGCCCACAAACATAAAGTATTTCCTATCTGGCTGGCCTTTTTGGAACAAGTTTGCAGACCCTTGAACGATGACACGGGCGTGGGAACTCAGTAGTGGGGATTTACTGCTTCCGTTATACACTCCAGTCGTCCTCACCTGGGAAGCTAACGTTGTCAGCTCAGATTCTAAAATGAAGTTCACCCAGTCACTTCCAGGGATGAGGACTTCCGAGTGTACTTAGTAACTTCATATGACCTTGTGGTTTTCTCTGAGAGCTCCTGGCATATATTCACCTTTCCTAAAGCCGGCTGGACAAGCTTGGGAGAGGAAGTTAGCTTAAGATGACTCCACCTCACAGCAAGCCACTGATCCCTTCAGCAGATTGGGAAGGATCAGGTCAGCTGCAGGCTGGTGTTTTCATCCCTGGGAAGGCACTACAAGTGAGCATTAGAAGAAAGTCTTAGGAAAGCAGTTGTAACTTGTTTGTTTTCTGTGTATTAGAGTTTTTCCTGCACATGGGTACTTGTGCCGCTTGTGTGCCTGGTGCCCATCTCACCCTCAGGTATATTTTGAATTTTAAAATGTAAAGAGGTCACATTCTTGTGTTTAAAAATGTAAGGAATACAAAAGTCAAGTAACTATGAATTATATACAATATATGAAAAACTTTAAAAAGTGCCAGAGTGCTAATTGGCCCTTATAATAACACCTGACTTTTATTTTCCAGAGGGGCATATGAAATCATTACTATGTATCAAAAGTGAATTTTTGGGTAATTGACAGATACACATTTATCACATGTAGTATTTTTAAAGTGTTATTTACATAGGGCTCTGAAGACTCTTACAAATATTGCCTGAGGAGTAAGAAAAACAGAGACAGTTGAGGCTATGGATTATTTACTATAAACAAATATTGTGTTCATATTTCCCCACAGGGCCTTAGTGAATGCTTATAAGTTACAGCCTACACCTGGGGTTCAGAAGATTGGCATCAGCCTCTTCTTTACTGTTGTGGACTATGTCAGCGAAGAGACCCAGCGCCATCCTCCTACGAGGCAGTTCTTCACGTCCTGCATCGAGATCTTGGGACAGGTAAGACCATTCCCAGCTGTCAGCCCCATGCTTGCACAGTGAATCCTCAGGGGTACTGACTAATACAGTCAGAAGCTTCTGGAGAATTGTTGACTTCCTGTGACACTGGTAGAATTTTTGGTATAGAATGTTGCTTCTTCTACAAGAAAGATTAAGTGATTATTATCTGAAAAGCTAGGGGGACTTCAGATTTTGGCCTAGGTTGTTAGTATCACTAACACAACATTGCTCAAGTTCCTTTATCATTTGCAAAATAGCTTCTAATTAATTTTTAAAGTTTGCCCTCATGCGGACTCTGTATAGTTGATACCATTCCTGTCTTGAAAATGATCAAGCAGAGTGGATTCGAGTGGCATAGCCTGTAATCTCAGTTACTTAGGACCCAAATTCAAGGCCTGCCTAGGCTACAGAATGAGTTCAAGGCCAACCTGGGCAACTTAGTAGGACCTTGTCTCAAAAAGTTAAACAAACAAAAAAAAGTAGGGACCATAGCATGCATGAGAGACCTTAAGTTCGATCCCCAGTATTGCTATAAAAAATTAAAAAAAAAAAAAGTAGCAACTGGCCTTTGAAAGATGAAGCAACTCCCCTGAAGTATGCACCTGTGAGTGTTGGGGCTGAGAAATGAGCCAGAGCTTCTGACAGGGTTCAGTGCTGCTCTGTCTGACTGCTGCTGCCTCCCAGGTGCTGTGTCTGCCACCATTTATTTATCTGTTTTAACAGGGCAAAGGCAAAGTATCCCTGCAGATTTATGGATGTTATAAAGGAAATCCACTTGTTTGAAGAATATCAACCCTGGCCACATATTTGCATCCAAATTTAGTTGATCACTTGGGTCCCCATAAGTGGGGATGCCAACCAGATAGAGCTGCTTGTTGCTGTTGTTTCTGTTCTCCTGGGGTTTTAACTCAGGGCCCTGCCTGTGCTAGGCAGGCACTCCACCACTGAGCTGTGTCACCAGCCGATGATCTGTTTTCTCCTAAGAACTTCTCTTCTCACCATAAGGTTACTAAGTGCTTATTGTGAGCCATACAGTGTAGAAAACAAAAAACAAGCAAATGTTCTCGAGATTCAAAACACCTGGGGGGAGTAGAAATATGGCTGTAATTTGAGTTATAAACATGCTCTGTCATTTTATCTCCACATGGGTACTTACATAGACACTTCAGACAGGCATGTGCTAACTTATCTCCTGTGCACTTAAGCATATCTTTTAATTTCCCTTGCTAGTAAGTACAGGTCAGCCTCTGTCAAATGTCTGTTCCATGATAAAGACATGTTGTAAGGAATTATGCTCACACTTTCTGGGTAGTTAGTTTGGTAGGTCTCTTTCTTTCTCTTTTCTACAATAAGACTGAAATAATTATTCTTACAGTATTTTCTTTAGTATTCTTTTCTGAAAGTGTGATTGCTGTATCAAAGGAATTTGATGTAAATGTATATTTATATTTTATAGCATTGAGTGCATTTGATCACTACCCTGCTGGAAGGTTTGCCCATGGTTACACTATCATAACTAACATTAGGAATTATTCTTATTAAAGTTTATGGTACTGGGGATTGATCCTTAAAATTTGGCTAATCTGATAAGGGAAGTAGATAGAATGCCATCACTTTCAAAATTTATATTGCTTTCGTGTGTGTGTGTGTGTGTGTGTGTGTGTGTGTGTGTGTGTGTGTGTGTGTGTGTTGGTGATTATTTTATTTTCCTTTGTATATTTTTTGGGTTTTGATTTGATTGAAAGAGTTGTTTTGGATGGTTATTAACATAGTATTTGGAGAGCAATATATTTTGCTAATTCTTTTTTTATACTTTATGATTCTTTGTAGCTCACTGAAGTTGAAATTTTAATATAGTCATACCCATGAGCCCTGCCTATTATTTTTGTTACAATCATCTTAGAAAAGCCTTTCTGACCCTGAGATTGCTTAGAGAATCACTGAGATTTTAGTGCGTCTTAGCCTTTGAACCACATTAATTCATTTTTTATTATTTGAGACAGGAGTGCACTTTGTAGCTCTGGCTGTCCTGGAACTCACTGTGTTGACCAGGCTGTTTCCTTTTTTTTTTTTTTTTTTTTTTGGTTTTTTGAGACAGGGTTTCTCAGTGTAGTTTTGGTGCTTGTCCTGGATCTTGCTCTGTAGACCGGGATGGCCTCAGACTCACAGAGATCTGCTTGCCTCTGCCTCCCTAGTTCTAGGATTAAAAGTGCGTGATTTTAGATATCTTCTGATTTTCTATTTTCATTTACAGAAATTATTTTACCTTATTTAGTACCTTTGAAGATTGCCTGCTTAAGAAAAGCAGAGGGGAAATTGAGTGACAGTTCCCCTTTTATGTCACCAGGTGTTTATCAGCGGCACTAAATCGGAATGCAGGAAGGTGCTGCAGACCATTCTGAAGAACAGGCGTCTCTGCTCTCTGCTCTCCCCTTTCTTCACTCCCAATGCTGCGCCGGCTGAGTTCATCCAGCTGTATGAGAAAGTGGTGAAGTTTCTAAGTGAGGACAACAGTGATATGATTTTCATGCTGCTCACCAAGGTACTAATGATTCCTCCTGGGAAAAATCAGAAATGACTGTTGCTTCCCATGCCAAGAGGCCCTTTCCACATTGCATGATCTTTGAATAGCCGACCTTACAGCCTCCCCTTTGTGGGCAGGGCGCTGGCTGTACTGTGTAGACAGTCTTACTCAACAGAGTGTGACTTTCCAAAGCACAGCTTCCCGAGCTTTATTTTTGTTTTGTTTTGTTTTTTGAGACAGGGTTTCTCTGTGTAGCCCTGGTTGTCCTGGAACTCGCTCTGTAGACCAGGCTGGCCTCAAACTCAGAGAGATCCTGAGTTTGCCTCTGCCTCCCGAGTGCTGGGATTAAAGGCATGTGTCACCACTCCTGGCCCAAGCTTTCTTTAAAAACTTTGTATAGTCATGAAATATTCCTAAGAGGAGTTTAATAATCCTTTTAAATGTATCTTGAATTTGCTCCTACGTTGTTTGATCTGTGAGTTATTGTATGTCAGATTCATATTTTGGATAAGCCTGCTCTAAATAAGCTTCCCTTATCCTCATCTGAATAGAAGACTGTCAGAACAAGGCAGTGACTTAACCAGTCAAGAATGTCAGCACCTTCAGTTACGCTTCTGTGACATTTATGAAGCAATGGGACCCTGGCATTTTTTAGGGCAAAGAGACTGAGCCCAGTCTATAACAGAGGTGAATGTATTTTTATGGTATGAAACACTGGAAGATTCTATCAGTCTGAATTTTATAAATTTAGGTAGGTAACTAATGCCACTGAAAAAATGGCTGTTAAATAAGGTCCATAAAGTGGCCACTTGGTTCTGACCCTAACAAATGAAGGACAGCTCTGAAACTCTGATGAGGTCTCAGAGAGGACACTTATAAAAAGACAGAAATGTATGGAATTTTCAGAAATAGAATGGAATTGTAAACCATAGTGAATGGTTAGTCAATGGGTGGTTTTTTGTTTTGGTTTTGTATTTTTGCAATGCAAGGTGTCAAACCTAGGGCTGTGAACATTCAAGGTGAGTGCTCTGCTTCTGACCATGTCCTTACCCAATCCCAAGTAAGATTTTATATTTCAAAAGAAGGTTGTTGAGCCGAGGACATGACCTCAGCTCAGAGAATCGATAGAGATGGTGGCATCATGGTTCCCATCAGTTACATTCAGTCATGTACTTGTGTGTACATTTGAGTTTCTGTGTTTGTAGACAGGTAACTGCAAGATTGTCTTTGATTGTTAAATTTGCACAGAGCTCTCTGCTTCATCTAATTTTCTAATGTAAATAAAACTGCTTCTTGTTTCTGTTTCTTTTTTAGTTCGATGTTAAGCAATGGTTAAACGCCACTAAACCTCCTCTGTCTGATCGTACCAGGCTTCTGGAGTCCATTCACTTGGCACTTACTGCCTGGGGCCTTGAACCAGATGAAGATATCTTGATGCCATTTAATCTATTCTGTAAGCACTGGACTCACCTTCTACTCTACCAGTTCCCTGACCAGTACAGTGACGTTCTCAGGCTGCTGGTGCAAAGTGAGTGTCTTCATTTGTTACGACTGATAAGATCTCAGTGAGTATCTGATAGCACATTTGCCACTCTGGAGATGCCATCTAAAATGTTAAGATGAGGCTAGAGAAATGGTTCAGCAGGCGAAGTCCTTGCCACCCAAGCCTCATGACCAGAGTTAGGTTCCTAGAAACCATGGTGAGGAGGGAACCAGCTCCCCAAGATTGTCCTCTAGCCTCCATATAGGGTGTTGTGTCATGTGTGCATCTGCCTCACACTCATCACACACACACACACACACACACACACACACACACACACACACACACACACCCTATTACCATTTCTCAATCACAGTAGGAGGGTGAGGTCATCTCTCCCCAGCCTTCCAGCCCCAGGGTCTTCTGTGGCGCTCACTCCCAGTTACGTCACTTTTCTTGTCTCTTCACTTTGGTCCCTTTGACCACATAGCCCTACAAAGTTGGTTAGATCATCATCATTGATTTGTAAAGTACACATGTTTTTTGATTCAGTTGAAAAATTGGTTTGGGAAGAACACAGACCTGATGTCTCTGTCCCTTCTCTAGGCTCTGCAGAGCAGTTGCTGAGTCCTGAGTGCTGGAAAGCCACTTTGAGAGCCCTGGGCTGCTCTGCCCCAAGCAGCCAGCAGGGGGCAGCTTCTGCCGAGAGCTCTGTGCTTCACAGTGCCTCAGATGTTCTCTTGTCAGACAAGCAGGTGTGTAGCTTCGGTCTCTAACAGCTGTGCATGTGCGTGTGCGTGTGTGCGTGTGTGTGTGTAAGAGCTCCATGTTTTTGACCTTTGCTTCCTCTGCCCCCTTTTGCCTGGACGGCTTTTCTCCTATGCTCCTGAATGAAGCTCCGTCCCTATCTGAGCAGAATGAAAGCCAGCACCCCCCTGTACAAACCTTCCCGCCCACCTAAGCTCATCTGATTACCTGCAGTTGTAGCATCCCGGAGACCCAAGCTAAAGTACTTTGAGTTTGAGACCAGTTTGGCCTATATGAGACCTTATCACCACAAACAAGCAAACAAAAAGCAACCTCAAAAATAAGGAAAAAGGGAGACTATACCCGAAATAAAGATTCCATTGCCTTTAGAGTTTAAAAACCTACTAATTTTTCTGTCTCTTTGTAGTTCTGTCAAAAACCCATGTTTCCATCACAAACTGTCATAGCACTGTATATAAAGGACGACAGCATGGCAAGTGCTGAAGTGCTTTCCTAGTGTGTTGCATCTCTAGCAACGTAAAGAAGACAGGGGCTGGGGACGATGCTGCACCACAGCAGACGTTTAGTGAGCAGTGTTTGGTTGGTCATCTCTTCTAGGTAACGGAGACCATCCAGTGGCTTTCTGACTTCTTTTATAAGCTTCGGTTATCCAAGCTGGACTTTAAAAGCTTTGGATTATTCTCGAAATGGACCCCTTATATGGCTGATGTGAAGACATTTTTGGGATATCTTGTGAAAAGGCTGATTGACTTAGAAATCGCCTCCTTGGCCCAAGACCCAACTGCCAGCAGCAGAGAAGGTATTGTGCTTCCAGTGTGGTGGGAGCTAAGTGCTGTGCCTTCCATTAGAAGAAATTCAAGTAGACACGTTAAGAGATCCTTCTCAAATGTCATGGTGACAGAAGAGAAAAATGTGGTATAGGTGTGAGCTCATATACTCATCATACCTGTATGATTTCACAGCGAATACAGGATGCTTGCTGTGGCTTGTCTGTGCCCCTCCTTAGTGGGGTATAGTACAAAGAGGTGTATTTCTCTAACCTAGGTTAGGACAGTGTTCAGAATATGAAGCATATATCTTGGGACATTATAAAATTAGCTATGACATTGTGTTATAATAAAAATTAAATTCAGTTCATTGTAGCAAATGAAAAGAGAATCCTGCATAGTTGTGCTAAGCATACCATTTTGTACCAGCAAAGGCTTATGCAGAGTGAGGAGCAGTAGATTTTGATACATCTAGTATGAAATATAGCCAATGGCCAGAGTGAGACCCTTTCTTGTGTCTAACAATTGTGCTGTTTCAGTGCTAAGATCCCTGCACTCCCAGATCATCCAGCTTTTTAAGCCTTGGATCCTGGTTTTAGAAGACAGTGAAAGGTAAATAGTTTTTCATATACTTAGATTTCTTTGGAATTTATTTAAAGTTCTAATGATATTTAGTACAGGTCATGATGATTTCACAGATTTAATTTTTAATATAGTGACATTTAAATTGATAAAATACAAAAGTCAAGCCATTTTTTGTTTGTATAATTATTCATCTGGGTGATCAGTGATGTTATCTTGATATTAACCACTAATTTCTAATTTTCCATGATAAGGAAGTTGAATTTGTTTGCATATTTAATTTTTTTTAATTAAGTAGGTTACAAATATGGGTCTCAGCATTTTCTATTAACTCAGCTATTTTCAGAATTAAGTCGTGCATCAAATTATTGGGTTGGGAATGCCCCCTTAATCATGTAACTCTGAAGTTAAATGAAAACACTGTTTCATGAGCAAATAAGCCTGAGAACCTAGTACTGGCCTAAGGAGAAGAGGGGAGTCAGTGTTAATGGTTGATGTACATGTTGTCATTGACTTTCAGAGCCCCCAGCTTGGAAGTGCAGAGTGTACTTCAGGCCCGTTCTAGACTTGTAACTCTACCATGTACGCTTCCTCTCTAAGCCTGTGTTTCTTTCCTGTGAAGCAGCCAGCAGCGACATTACCCCTGGCTGGAGAGTGATGCTGTGGTGGCCTCCAGCATCGTGCAGCTCTTCACTGACTGCGTTGGCTCACTGCATGGGAGTTTTAAAGGTAGGGAGGTGTCATGGGATGCCTGGTTGAGCCTTCCCTTCAGCCTCTCCATCCCTCTTTCCTTGTGCTTTCGTCTTCATGTCACCTGGAAGACAAAGAAGCTGACAGGAGACCGGCCTTTGCCACGGTTCCTGTCCTGTAAGGATGCTCTGAGTTGCATAGTACGGCCCACTGAGCATTGCCTACTCTCAGCTTCTCAGGAGCTTCCCATAATGGCAGAGCTAACTTATACCCCAACTCCAGTAAGATATAGGAGTCTTTTTTCCTTGCATTCTTCCACTTATCTTCTGTTTTGTATTCTTTTTGTGTGTGCCCACCTGCTCACATCTTCGTGAGAGCTGTGTTGAGCTGTGTCATGATCCCCCTTACTTTGTGTTTTGTGACAGGGTCTTTCACTGAACCTCTCTGGTTTGGTTTGGCTGGCTAGCGAGCTCCCCAGACCTGCCTGGCCTGCTCTCCAGTACTGGGGTTGCAGGCACACACTGCCCACACCCCCCTTCTATGTGGGTGCTGTGTGCCTCAACTCAGGGCCTCATGCTGGCCCAGCAGCACTTCATCCACGGAGCCATCTTCTCAGCTCTCCCATCTTTTCAGTAAGAGGAATCCTAGGGGCTAGAGAGACGGCGCAGCAGTTAACACTGGTGGCTTTTCCAGAGGACCTGGGTTCAATTCCCAGCACTCCCATGATGGCTCACAACCATCTGTTGAGTCCAGTTCCAAGGGAACAATTCTCTTCTGACCTTCGTGGCTACTTCATGCTTGTGGTGCACAGCCACATGCTGCAAAGCACCCATCCACATAGAATAAAATAAATTAAAAAGCCAGTGTGAAGTGATACTTCACTGTGATTTAATTTTTTCTTTACATTGTGAGTGTGTATGATTTTCGTGGAGGTTTGTTGTCCTTTTTAATGGTTGCCCCCTTTTAAGCTACAGCTGTCTGAATCATCAACTGCAACTCTGCAGCTACCAGCAGCAGTTAGGCCGCAGGGGCCATAGCTGGAGGGAAATCTGTTCCCTCCGGCTCCAGCTCTCGCAAAGCTACGAAGGGAACTTAGATAAACCTCTGTCCCTCTAAAGAACTCAGGATTCAAAGGTTAAGGTGGAATTCCGCTCTTCAGAGGCTGAATAGCAAGTAGCCCACCTCCTCTCCTTGCTCAAGTCCTCCAAAAGCCCTCATGCTTCTCCTCACCCTCCTCATAAACCCTTTCCACCTGGCTCCTCCCTACCACTTCCTGTCGGCTACTTGCTGCCGCAGCCTTCTCACCACAGGTGAATTTTATTTAATCAAACACATCTTTGCATCATTAAACAAACATCCCAGAGCATAAACGAAAATAACACACCTTGAAATAATATTCTACAACAGAGGTTGGAGGACAGCTTGTGGAAATGGGTTCTCTCCTTCCTCCCTGTGGGTTCCAGGAATCAAACTCTGGTTGTCAGGCCTGGCAGCGAGCTCTTTTGGCTGTTCAGCTGTCTTCTTGCCCTCATCTGGTTTATTTTTCTTTCCAGTGATATTTAGTAATGCTGAGTGTTTTTGTGTACTTGTTGATTCTTTTTATTGTTTTGAGAACTGTTGGAATATTTTCTTTTGAGGAATTCTTTCAAAATGCTAACTGAAGAAAGAAGTGCTAATGGGATGAGACTGGGGGCAGAAGAGGGCAGCAGGCTATAGATATGTATTTGGGTTAAAAAGCCATTTTAAGTTCAAGTTTCTGTTTTATGTAAGCATTTCTTTTTCCTTCCTGTTCTTTTTTAAAGACACCAATGACTTGAACTGTATTTTCTTTTCACATTTTAGACAAGCTATTGCCAGGTGACGAAGGAGCCCTGCGGTTGCACCTGCTGCATTACTGTGAAGCATGCACAGCACCCAAGATGCCAGAGTTCATTCTCTACACTTTTCATAATGCATATCAGAATCTCGAGTGGAAGGACCTGCACCCTGACCAGAGGCTCATGGAGGCCTTCTTCAAGGTTGGTGGCTCCCCACCAGTGTATGGGCATTCCTTTTCACTCTCTGGTGCATACTGTAGAGAGCAGCAGCTTGTGGAAGTCACGTCTTAATGGGGGATTTGAACACATCTATTAGGCCAGTTTAAAAACACAGAGAAAGACTGCCTCTAACGTGGTGGTCATCCTCTAGTTTTAGGAATAAAGTTGTGAGATTCCCTAGTTTACTGAGTCTTGCTCAGTCCTGGCTATTGTTTATTTTTATAAACATTGTTATAATATTGGCTAATATTGTTAGAACTTCTTGTGAGTGTTGTGTGAAAGCAAATGTGAATTAGTACTCAACTCCAAGGTGATTTCAGCGGTTATGCAACTGAATAGTTAGATTGTAAGAGCGAAAATCATTGTAACAACCAGTGACACATTGTGATTATAGAAGAACCTGGAATAATCTTAAGGAAGGGCCATGAAATATGCGTGTGAACCTTTGCAACAGAAGCCATAGTTCCAGGAGCCCCAGGGCGACTTTGGCAGCAGCCAGGTTGATGTATGTTTTTCTGCTGTCAGAACCTCCTCGATGATTTTGGCTTGGCTTTTTATAATTGTTCCAGTTCATTAGTCATCATTCATTTGTGTTTTCTCCTAACTTAATGTCATACTTATTATAGTTGAGTCATTTAAGTGCTTTAATTGATACAGATCTATGGTTATTTATGATGATTACTAAGACACAAATATTATTTACAGTGATTAGTAAAATGTACTGGGGCCTTCTGGTGTTTTGTTGTGAAGCCCTACCCAGTACTGTGCTTGGAAGCTACTCTTCTGCAGTGGAGCTCCAAGGAGGCTGGTCCTGCTTAGCAGTTGAGGTACAGGTCCCGAGCAGACACTTAGTCACCATTGTGAACATGTGAGAGAATGCTAGCTTAATGACCCGTAAGGCAGCATTTCCAGTGAGAGGGGTGCCATCTAAGACTAGTTGAACTGTGGAATAGTCTGTTAAGGAATGATACAGATTCTGTCTCTAGGAGTTTTAAAGATTAGATAGCCTTGGCCTGCCCAGAAGCTGAGAACATTTTAAATTGCAAGCCTGATGGAAAGACTAGAGAACAGATTATAAAAGGGTGAAGAATTATCTTCCAAGAGAGAGCAGATGTGAGTCACCACCAGATTCCAGTCTCATCATTATTTTATAAGTAGTGTAGAGCTTTTAATATTAATCTTTAAAAGAATGATTCATAGCACCTAAATTTTTTAAGGTAAACAAATTAGAAAAATTGAAATAGGCTATAAAATAAAACTTTCAGATTGATATGTGCTTTATAGTGCACCCACAAGAAAACTTCTGAATAGAATTTAAGCATTAGATTTTGAAGACGAGTCGTGTGGAGACATTTATAATACAACATTGATATTATACATCCTAGTGTGGTAGTTCTCCAAGTGTGATCTCAGGAACACTATGAACATCAAAGGGAATTTGCACAACCCTGCTCACAATGCATCCATGGGAAGCCAGCAGCTCTTGGGTGTGCCAGCAGCTGTTCTGATAGACACTGAGGTTTGAAAACTACTGATCAGTAGAGCTTCCTTCCTGCTCCAGCTCACCCAAGGTCCCGACACTGCTGCAGCTCCAGGGTCTCAGTGACAGGGTGTTTCCATCTGCTTGGGGTCAGGGAAGGTCACTCTTCTCTTTAGAATTATTAGCGTAGACAGTGAAGTACAAGTAGGCAAGCTCAAGAATGCACATATGTGATGTACCTGAGAAAAAGTTATATAAGGTGAGATTATCAAGGAATATTTATGGTCTGGGGAAAAGTGATCTCTTAAAAACATATATAGGATATATAACATGTATAGGATATAACATGTATAGGATATATATGCTGTTTTTTGTTCACTTCAGGTGGAACGTGGAAGCCCCAAGAGCTGTTTCTTGTTTTTGGGGTCTGTACTCTGCAGAGTCAACTGGGTTAGTGTGCTGTCTGATGCCTGGAATCCCAGTCCCCTTCCTGAAACCCAGAGCATGGTTGTCTGTCTCCTTTTCATGATGATTTTACTGGCAAAGGAAGCTCAGCTGGTCGATCAGACAGTAAGTCTGGGAGTCTGCAATCGCTTTGGCTTCTTAGTACATTGTTTGCTCCTGATGATGTTGCCCTCACATAGATCAGGATGAGTTGCTGGTCAGTGTGTGTGCATTCGGCTACATGCTTACTTTTCTGGACAGTCCGTAGTCTAGTTCTAAATAATCCAAAGAACCCTATTGAATTAGAAAAATTTATCTTGTTAATTCTTAGTTCAGTGTGCTTCTTGAAGTCCAGGTTGTTGTGTATACCCAAGTCCCTCTGAATTCTTGTACAACTTAAGGTTCTTTTGCCATGACTTCACTTGATGCTAACTTGGGTGTGTACCTCCTTGGTTCCTTAACTTTTCTATTCCTACTATAAGCTGTTTGCCCACAGATAACTAGTGTAGATGAATTTCTAAATGGTCTTATTAAATATAAAAACATGGAGCCAGACATAGGGGTGAAAACCTGAGAGATCAGGGAAATAGGGAAAGCCACAGCTAACCTTACCTCACAAACTTCACAGCTTCCAAATGCGAGATATTTTCTGTCGACCCACGCCTATATGCCTTGCTGTTCTGCCATCTGATTTGCTCTCTCTGTCCAGCTACATCACTTCCTCTTCCTGCCCAGCTCTGTCACTTCTTGTCTGTTTGTACAGACCTCTAGACCTCCATGGATAACTAGTGTTGGAATTTAAGGGGTGTGCCACCACAGCTGGCTCTGTTTCCAATGTGGCCTTGAACTCACAGAGATCCAGACAGATCTCTGCCTGCCAAGTAATAGGATTAAAGGCATATGCTACTGTTGCCTGACTTCTTTGTTTACTTATAATGGTTGGCCTTTTCCTCTGATCTCCAGGCAAGCTTTATTTATTAAAGCACAAAATAAAATATCACAACAAACTAGAGACATATATTGCTGGGGAGATGAATGTAAAGCAACCTGTCTTTCTTTTTAGGATTCACCTTTATTAAGTCTTCTTGGACAGACCAGCTCACTCTCATGGCATCTTGTGGACCTCGTGTCCTACCAGAGCGTGCTGGGTTATTTCAGCAGTCATTACCCACCATCCGTCATCCTGGCCAAAGACTGTTCTGCTGAACGCATCGTGAAGCTCTTGAAAGTGTCTGCAGGACTCTCTGTTCCTGCTGATGGCCAGAAGCATCGCGTAAGTTGGGAGAGTGGTTTAATAGTTAGTGTGTTGTTTAGGACCAGAAGTCAAACATGTGCTAGTAAGGCTAGCCCTGAATCTCCTGACTTCCACCACAGAGAAAGCTGGGGTGTGTGCCACCGTGTGCGCACGCCTCCTGGGTCCTTTGGTTTGACTTTTCTCATTTATTTGCACTGACTCAGGTTGACTGGAGATCAGAGGGGTTGAAGATAATTGGAATGTCTTAGTCTGCAGAGTGGCAGGGAGGGTGATGAGTGTAAACTGGAGGTTTGAGTTAGAGGGAATGTGAACATTTTGGGGAAGTTTTTGACAGGTAAATCACTGTTTGGTTAATGGCATAGTTGATGCAGTTTTGTGGCATCCGGGCATTCTAGTCTCTATGCCATCACAGCTTTGAATAGCTGCAGACACATCTCCTGGGCCATCTAGATGAGGTCTTCTGTGGCTTCCCAGTCCATCCTCTTCACTTTGCCCAAGTGTTCAGTGCTGTGCTATGCTCCCTGGGAGGATTCAGCTGACATTTCTTGCTCAGTTCATTTGACTGACAGGTCTCTCTCTCTCTCTCTCTCTCTCTCTCTCTCTCTCTCTCTCTCTCTCTCTCTCTCTCTCTCTCTTTTCATCAGGACATAGTTCCAAAGTGCCAAGCTTTCACTCGTCAGATGGTTCAGTTTCTCAGTGCCCTGGAGCAGTCTGGAAAAGTCACTTTCCCAGTCCTGGAGCAGGAAATATCTAAGCTCTTAGATGATATCATTGTCTTTAACCCACCCGGTAAGTGACCAGTGGAAGCCACATGCTCGTGCGGGCAGTGAATCCGTCTGTGTGTTAGACTTTGTGAGCCAAGGGAGATGGTCAAGACCATGATTCCTGATCCAACAGTCAGTGCTCTGGACAGCAGGACAGCCCTGGGGGCAGGCAGCAATTTTACTGTCTGAGGAGAGGTTGACCCTGGCAGGTGTGGCTGTGAAGTGACCTGGGCTGAGGTTCAAGCCGGATTAAGTGATGAGGTGACAGGAGGTCTGGAGGAAGCGGTGTTTGTAGAAGTTCCAAGTCACCTGCTGGCTTGTCAGGACTATATGGAGAGGTTTGTTGCCAGCAGGTCAATAGACAGACATCCTGCCTTAAATTAAAAAAGGAAAACACTGTGGTTGGTGACTCCCGTGACATCTGTGTACCTTGCGGGCGGGTCACTGTGGTAGGCCTCAGGGTTGGAGCTGGGCTGGTGGTCACTTTTCTCCTCTGGTAGCTCGCAGAGTACTCTCTGGCACCATGAATACTAGTCAGTAGGGGTGAAGTTCCTAGTCAGGCACCAGCTTGACTTCTCTGTGTTCAGTGATGTAAGTTAAGTGTTGTCCTCAGTAGTCGGATGGAGCTTTCCTTCCATCAGGTGTGGAGAACAACAGTGGCCTTGGCAGTAGCCTGTGATGTTTGGTGTGTCCACGGGGCTCCTTGGCCTTGGCAGTAGCCTGTGATGTTGGGGGTGTCCACGGGGCTCCTTGGCCTTGGCAGTAGCCTGTGATGTTGGGGGTGTCCACGGGGCTCCTTGGCCTTGGCAGTAGCCTGTGATGTTGGGGGTGTCCACGGGGCTCCTTGGCCTTGGCAGTAGCCTGTGATGTTGAGGGTTTCCACGGGGCACCTTGGCCTTGGCAGTAGCCTGTGATGTTGGGGGTGTCCATGGGGCTCCTTGGCCTTGGCAGTAGCCTGTGATGTTTGGGGGTGTCCACGGGGCTCCTTGGCCAACAACTGAGGATGTAACTCATCCCTGGCACTGAGGGTTTTCTTGGTAGCATGACTAGCATTGCCTTTCCTATCATTTGGTGACTCCAGTTAGACTCTTTCATGTATGTGTGTATCTTAGGACGCTTCTGTAGTAGTAGACTTCCGTATGGTTTTCCTAAGGCCTTTAGTGTTAGTTGTCTCTCTCCATATTCCTTCTTTTACTCTACTCTCACATTCCTCTCCTTATTTAATCTTCCTAGTCTAGTTCCCCCTTTATCTCTCCATAACATTATAATTCTATTTTCCCTTCCCTGGGAAATGCCATCCTCCCTCCTGGTCTCTTACTGGGTACCTAACCTCTGTGGTTATTCAGATTATAGAACACTTACTGAAAGTTTAAACGCTATATCCACATATTAGAGAAAACAGGCAATATTTGCCTTTTGGAGTGTGGGTTACCTCACTCAGGATGATTATTTCTAGCTCAGTCCTGCAAATTTCATTATTTTATTGACTATATTCCCTTGTGTAAATGTACCACATTTTCATTATCCATTCATCAGTTTATAAAAACCTAGGCTATTTCTAATTTCTGGCTATTGTGGATAGAGCAGCAATGAACATGGGCAAGTAACTCTTTAATAAGATATAGAATCCTTTGGGTATATGCCCAAATATAGTATGGCTGGATCTTGAGGTCAATAGTTCCCAGCTTCCCGAGGAACCTCCACACTGATTTCTGTAGTGGCTGTACCACTTTGCACTCCCACCAGCAATGAATACGTGTTCCCTTTCTCTAGCCATTATGAGCTGCCATTTGTTTTATTGATCTTGGTCATTCTAACTGGGCTAAGATGAAGTCTCAGTAGTTTAATTGCATCTCCCTGATGGCTGAGGATGTTGAACATTAAATGTTTCTCCGTCATTTGTGTTTCATCTTTTGAGAACTCTGTTTAGTTCTGTTCCCCATTTTTAAATTTGGTTGTTTTTTTGATGTTCAGTTTTTTTTTTAGTTCTTACATTATAACCCTCTATCAAATGTGTAGAATGTCTCTTGCTGTGGGATGTTCTGTATGGCAAATGTGTTGCTGATTAGTCAATAAATAAAACACTGATTGGCCATTGGCTAGGCAGGAAGTGTAGGCGGGACAAGGAGGAGAATAAAGCTGGGAAGTGGAAGGCTGAGTCAGAGAGACACTGCCAGCCGCCATGATGACAAACAGCATGTGAAGATGCCGGTAAGCCACGAGCCATGTGGCAAGGTATAGATTAATGGAAATGGATTAATTTAAGCTATAAGAACAGTTAAGAAGCCTGCCACAGCCATACAGTTTGTAACCAATATAAGTCTCTGTGTTTACTTGGTCGGGTCTGAGCTGCTGTGGGACTGTCGGGTGACAGAGATTTGTCCTGACTGTGGGCCAGGCAGGAAAACTCAAGCTACAGTCTCTGGCTTCAGAGTTCCCATTGAAAAATCCGATGGGTACTAATATTTCTTCCTTTATATATGATTTGGTCATTTTTCCCTTGTAGCTTTAAATATGCTTTCTTTATTCTGTAATTTAGTGTTTTGGTTATGATGAGTCATGGGAATTTCTTTTCTGGTTCTACTTGGTGTTCTGTATGCTTCTTGTACCTTGATAGGTAATCTCTTTCATCTGGGGAGATTTGGTTCTATAATTCTATAGTTCTGATAACAATATTTTCTGTGCCTTTGACCTGAGTTTCTTCTCCTTCCTCTATACCTATTATTCATAGGTTTGGTATTTTCATAGTATCTCAGATTTCCTGGATTTTTTTAGATTTAACCTTTTCTTTGACTGAGATATCCATTTTTTCAACCTTGTCTATTGGTGAAATTATTTAGGCTACTCCACATAGTTAAAAGGGAGGTTTATTTTTTGGGGTAACTTACAAATGAAGGGATAGGTAGGTTGCACGGTCTGGGAAAGGCGTAGCTCAGTCCGGCGGTGTTCTCTGGAGAACTCTGCTCAGTCTACCTCCAGCGTCCCGGGTCCAGGAACCAAGAGAGACGGCGCATCCGGATCTCGGGTCTTCAGGGTCCTCTCTTGGCCCCGCCTTGTAGGCGTGACAGTTACCGAAGCCTCAATGGGGGTTGGAACTTCCAGATCAAAGCTGGAATGGCTACCCACTACACTTGTCTTCAAGACCTGAAATTCCCTCTTCCATGTCTTTTAACTTGTTGGTAGACTTACTGTCAAGCTTTTTCTTTGACACCCTGAGTTTTCATTTCTAGTTTTATTGTAGTTTGGGTTTTCTTTAGTTATTCAGTTTCTTTGTGAAATTCTGCTTTCATGTCTTGAATTGTTTTCATTATTTCTTTCAACTGTTTCTGTTTTCAGTTTTCATTAAGGTATTTATTCATATCCTCTTTAAGGTCTTTGAACATATATAATGGCAATTTTGAAGTTCTTGTCTTATACTTCAGCTAAATTGCTTTTCTCAGGACCTGTTGCAATAGGGTTTGGCTTCTGGAGGATGAATATTATCTTGGCTATCCATGTTTGTGTTTTTGTGCTGGGATCTAGGCATCTGAAGTTCAGACGCTTGAAGTGTTTATTGGTGTGGATATCTGGTCTGCTCTGTGTTGGGTGGGTGTTCTATTGTTTGTTTACTATTGCCCACTCTGGGGTCTAGCCAAGTGCGGTGACTGTGGGGTTCCTGGTAGAGAGTGTTTCTGTGGGTTGGTGGGCATCACAAAAGAATGGAGATGGGTCAGAAGAGAAGGCTGAGTGGGAAGCAGGAAACAGCTGGAGGGACCAGGGTCTGCACCAAGAGGTAGAATCCCCAGGAAATGGAGGTGAGGTGGGAGGAGGGGGCTCCTACTGACAGGCTCAGCAGGACTAAGAGTAAGTCTGGAGAGACGGAAGAACAATAAAGATAGCTTACCTGAGTCCCAACCCAGTGTAACTACTGGGTCCCGTGTAGTGAGAGTGACTCTGTGGGCTTGCAGGTGTCACAAAGGAATGGAGACCAGCTGGAAAGAAAGGCTGAGAGGGGCTGTGGGAAATAAGGTGTTGCTCTCTCACATGCTTTATCCAGGGAACTTGCAGGAAGGAGTTCCTGATTTCCTGTCCATAAAATCCAGTCCTCATTAGACCATTTCTGCTAGTCCCTGAGTCACGCTAGGAGTGTGAAGACCCTGGAGAGCAGCTGAGATACCAACAGATATCCCAGTGGTGTGAGTGTGTGTCTATCTTTGCCTTTAGACATGGACAGCCAGGCCCGCCACATGGCCCTCAGCAGCCTCTTTACGGAAGTCCTAATGATGATGAACAATGCAACTATCCCAACAGCAGAATTCCTTGCTGGCAGTATTCGGACCTGGATTGGCCAAAAAGTGCACGGGTTGGTAGTGCTGCCCCTTTTAACAGCAGCCTGCCAAAGCCTGGCATCAGTCCGCCACATGGCTGAAACCACAGAAGCCTGCATCGCTGCCTACTTCAAGGAAGGTCAGAGGACCCTGTCTTCTTTTCTCATTGCAGTGGCCTTTTCCAGGAAGGGGAAAGCCTATCATCAGGGAGCTTTCTACTCTTGTGGGAGTCCAGCTCCTACCTTTTGAAGGGTTCTTAGGAGGAGGAGGAGAGAGGGATAAGAAAATATCAGATAGAAAGAGAGACCTAGCCAACAAGAAGAAGGACAGAAACACAGGATGGCTTCGGGAGGGCCTGGATCAATACCCAACAACCTCTTTGTTTATTTAAAAGGGCTTTTTATAATATGCCAAGGGGAGAGGCAAATGACCTCCTCCTTGCAAGATCAAAGCACATTGTACAGCCAAGTCTAGACCTTCAAACACCTGGTAACCACACTCATGGTCAAATCATCCCATTATGCAGCCCTGCTGGGTAAAACAAGCTCAGATTCTCAGACCCTGAGTAAGTTCTCACTAGGAAGCCTCTGTGGGTCTTTACACACTCTTCCCAAAGTGGCATTATACTGCTTTCTGCCAGGAATTTCTCATCTCATCTCATTTCATCTCTCTCTCTCTTTCTCCCTCCTCCCCCCTTCTCTCTCTCTCCTCCCTCCCTCCCTTTCTCCCTCCCCATCCTCCCCACCATCCTCTCTCTCTCTCACACACACTATATATATGATAGAAATAGGCTTTTTTTCCCCCTAGAGAGCTAGTCAACATCAGACCATGTGGCCCATGTCTTTTGTGTTCAATCATATGTTTCAAGAGAGAAAAAACTAATTTGTTTTTCACATTGCTTTAGAGTGTCCGATCAACCATGTTATGATAGCAAAGTCAGTTTTCAAAACAAATGCTGTAAATCAGAACTTATATAATAATGATGATTTCTTCTTTCTTACTACTTTTGGTGAAAGAAGTTTTCATAGAGATCTTTTTATTTCTTCTTGCCATGCTTTTTATTAAGATTTATTTATTTTTATTTTCTGTGTGTGAGTGTTTTTCCTGTATGTCTTTATGTATAGCACATCTGTGCTTGGTGCCACATAGGCCAGAAGAAGGTGTTGGATCATTTGGAGCTGGGATTACAGATAATTGTGAGCTGCCATGTGTGTGCTGGGAATTGAACCCAGGTCCTCTAGAAGGGTAGTAAGTGCTCTTAACTGCTGAGCCATCTCTCCAGTCCTCTTGTTCTACTTTTAAAACTATTCTATAAGGATCACTTTTTTCTGTTCCTCATCCTTTCATTGTTCTTACTTCCTCCCAGCAAACTCTGGAGACAGTAATTAAGAATTGCTCAGAATAGCCCTTCTCAACTCTGATATTCAGGTATGAAATATTACTACAGATAGCAAGAAAGGAAGAATACCAGAGTAAGGATGTAGAATGTGCCCATAGCCTGCCATCTGCCCTGCCTACTGTGGAGGTACTTTGTACATCACCATCACCTACCTTAACTCCTCCCAAAGGGTTGAGAGCCTTCAGGATAACACTCATGATTCAGATTTGTTTGTGTTACTAAAATCAAATGGTTTCCACTAGCATATGAGCTATACTTTAGTAAGTAAAAACGCTTATGAGAGACTGGATTTATTTTCTTAGAAAAGCCTGTGTTGATTAAAGTTAAAACTCTTTGGTATCCTGTAGATTCTAATGATCATCATAGAAAGGTGATTTAGAGATACATAGTCCTGAGTTCCAAATTTTTGTGACCCTTTTCTAGTCAAGTAGCATCTGGTGGAGGATCTCTAGTCTAAGCTTCAGGGCATCTCTCACTTTTCTGGCCTCTAGGCGTGCTCTAAGAGTGATGTCTTGTGCGAGGCTAAAGTAAAAACAGTCATTAGAATTCTTTCTTTCTTTTTCCGTAATATTTTCATTGACTATTTGGGACAGCACATCATGCGCACCAGTAACACATACTTCTCAGTCCTCCTAGGTCCGCCCCCCCCCCCCCCACTCTTGTGATGTCCCTTCTAAAAAAAAAGAAGAATTAAAACCCCACAAGTCCAGTTTGTGTTGCCACGTCCTCACTGGAGTGTGGTCAGTCTCCCCGTGGCCGACCTCCTAAAGAACACTGAGTCCCTCCCCACCCACACTCCCGCCAGAAGCCATCAGTCATGGAGGGCTACACTTCAGCATCCTTATCACAGCTGTTGAGAGTTCTCTTCCATGAGTTTCTGTCTAGGCTGTTCTTTTTGGGGGGTGGGGTTGTCATAGAAGCCTTCTCTGTCTCTTTTTTTCAACTGTAAGTCTGCAGTCATTGATGCCATTTCAAAAATAGCTTCCTTCCCCTTTATATTCAGCGGGAGCATCATGGATCATGGATTTCCACATGGTTTCTGGTGACAGCATGGACCACGGAAATCCACATGGCCTCTGGCATCAGCATGTGCTGCCGACCTCAGCATGGTCTCTGGTGGCTGTACAGACCATGGACGTCAACACAGCCCATGATTATGGACACAAGTATATATTGATATTTCCTCTTGGTGTTCTTTTCTTAGGCTCCCTCAATCAAAATTTAGGATGGGGCCCCATTCTGGTGTCCCTTCAAGTTCCTGAGCTCACCATCCAAGAGTTTCTGCAGGAATGTTTAGCCCTGGGCAGTTGCTTGACTCTCTATGTCTACCTGCTTCAGTGTCTAAACAGTGAACAGACTCTGAGGAACGAGATGAAGGTGCTTCTCATCCTAAACAAGTGGCTGGAACAGGTGTACCCAAGGTATGCTTGCCGGCTGGCTGCTCCCAAACTTGTATGTGCTTCACTTGGAATTCCCAGTTTACGTAAGTCATTCAAGAGCCCAGAACCCAGAGATTCGTAAAAGTCAAATAGGCCTTCAGGGGCAGTGGCACATGCTTGTGGAGACTCTTAGTTGCTGAGCTCATTTTCTGAGCAGACCTTTTTTTAAAAACATCTCCTCACACAAGTATTTGAGCTTGTTGTGTAAGTAGAATATTAAGTGACAGAGGACATGTAGTCCAGTGTCTGGCATGCAAATGGTAGTAGCTATTACAGCCCCATTGCTTTATTAGCATTTGCTAACACATTAGCTTTGGTTTTATTTTCTTTAGTTTTAATTTCTTAAATTTTGTTTTTATTTGCTTAATTGTGTGTATGTGTACTTGTGGGTTCCTGGGGATCAAGCTCAGGGTGTAGGCAAACACCTCCGCCCACTGAGCCATCTTGCTAGCCCTGGCATATGATTTTAGAGTAATACATTTCTCCCTCCTGTGAAACTCACCTGTGGGTTTCTATTGAACATGAGTGGGAAAGTCCTTGCATTTCTTTTGCTCTGGCTCTCCCCCAGCTCCGCGCAGGAAGAAGCAAAGCTGTTTCTGTGGTGGCATCAAGTCCTACAGCTGTCGCTGGTTCAGGTGGAGCAAAACGACTCGGTCCTGACAGAGTCCATCATCCGGATCCTGCTCATGCTGCAGAGCAGGCAGAGCCTTATGGCCGAGGAGAGGCTCAGCTCTGGGATCCTGGGGGCTATTGGCTTGGGCCGGAAATCGCCCTTGTCCAACAGGTGAGGAGGCACCCGCGCTGCTCTTCTTGGTGGGCCTCAGACAGCCGCTCCTGAGAGAGGTATGATGTTGGAATAGGCTTTTGCCTTAGGGTGAGTAGGTTTTCTGAAAAGATAAAGGCAAATGATCAGCGTCTGTTTACATCTTTATATTCTAAAATGCATGTTTATTTTTTCTTGATTTAACACAACTTTGTTTCAAAGGTCAAATCATACCTTTTGTTCGTGCTGATTTCATTTTGGTTTTGAGCCAGTGATAATGAATTAAGCTATCTCAGTCCTTTGTTTCATTGTGGTCACTTGGTCCCTATCCTGTGAGTTTGGGAATAAGAACCTGTGGGGGACTCAGTGTAGAACTGTTACATCATCATGGTGGTCTTAGTTCAGTGAGTAAGAAGTGATGAGAGATAAATCCATTTTGTGCTTAAAGTCCCAAGGCAGGGAAGGGTTTACCTGTGGTCCTCCCTTCTGAGTGAAGGTGCTTTCTTACTTACGGTTTCTTTCCCTCTCTCCTTCCCTTTCTTCCCCCCCATCGCCTCCTTCTCTCTCTCCCTCCCTCCCTCGCTCATGCTCAACACTCCCCTTTCTAATCTACACCCCAGTTACATCATGGCTTTTTTTTTCAAATCCTTGTGATTATTGAAAAGAGGTCTCATGCTGTGCTGACATGCACTGTGTGGTAAACTTGGGGACCTCTCATTCCAGACCAGATGACCCCACGTTTGTTTGTAATAGAATGTGACAGACACAATTTTAGTTTTACTTAATTTTGTTTGCGTATCTTTTGTTTGAATCAAGTGCTCTTCTTTTTTAATTATGGTAATATATTTTCTGTAGTAACCACCTTACTATGTATAATTCAGTGACATTTACAATGTTGTAGCCATCACTAGCTCTAGAATATTTTCCTCACCCCACAAGTAAGCCCTGTAGTCTCCAAACAGTCATTTCCAGTTCCTTCTTCCCCTCGTCACTGACAACTGTTAATTAACTTCATATTTAAATCCTCCTTAGGACGTTTATAAAAATGGAACTGTATACTATGTGGCCTTCAGTGTCTGGAAGTGCTTTCCAGAGTTCATCTGTGTTGTAGCATGTGGCAGCAGTTCTTGCTTATTTTTATTTATGTTTTTGTGGTGCTGAGGATTGTACTCATGCATGCTTGACAAGTATCCCACAACTGAGCCACATGCCTTTATTCCTTTGTACGGCTGAGTGGCACACACCCGAGTGTGGATCTGCCATATTTCATTTGTCCATTAAGAAGCTGATGGACATTTGGGTTCTTCTGTCTGTTGCTGTTGTAACTAGTCCTGCTGTGAACATTCATGCGTACATTTTTCCTCATATCTGTCCCTGGTTCTCTTGGGTACATACCCAGGAGTGGGGTCGCTAGATGACTTGGCAATTCTGTTTTCCTTATTCAGGCAGTGCACATTGTTTTCTATAGCATCCCCACGGTTTACAATGTCTATGTCCCAGCTGTTCTATGTCTTTACCAACACTTTCCTTCCTTGAATCTGAATGGGCACACACTCTTTAGGTAACTACGGAAGGAAAAATTAAGTAGGGTTTTCCTGAAGAGGTTAACTGCAGGAAGGATCTGGAAATGGAGTTGTACTGTTTTCTTTTAGACAGGGTTTGTATTTTAAAATGTCCACTTTAGCGGTCACCCACTTTTGACCCATTGCTAACACCCCAGGTTCCGTGTGGTTGCCCGAGGCATGGCCGCCTTCCTGTCAGTTCAGGTGCCTGCAGAAGACCAGATTCGTCTGAAGCCTAGCTCCGAATTACATCTGACTCCAAAAGCTCAGCAGGTCAGTGAGAGCAACCGTAAGGTTGGAGGTCTCCTGTGCACCTGTCAGAAGGGAGGTGGCAGTTCTATCGGGTACCGTCCAGGCCTGAGGCTCCCTTGGTGGGCTTGTCTCAGATCTTGAACTGATTTTTCTAGGGACCAGACTGGAGCAGTGAGGAGGCAGGGCCAAGGTAAGCTGGTCTAGGGCTGAGGTTGGAGAGTGTGCTAAGTGTGCTTCCTGCTACCAGGGCTGGCACTGCACAGAAAACGGCTCCCTCGACGGGAGTGACAGTTGGCTGAGTTTTCCCTTGGGACCAAAGCAGTGGTTCCTGTTCCATGAGGCTTAAGGGTGACCAGCGTGCCGCTGGTGCCTGAATAACCAGCAGAATAGTAGCTGCTAGAAGTCATGATATATACTGACACGTGGATGGCTACGCATCCGAGGTCTGGTTCCTGTAACTTGTTTTCACCTTGCCATCTGGCTGACTGGGTGTAGAGCCATCCTTGAAATAGTGAAGTAGTGGTTGCCATCCTTGAGTGCTTGCTCATGCCAGGCTCTTTTAATGTCAGTGAGTTGACATTTTGTTCATTTCATCCTCATAACAGCCCTGGAGCAGAGAGTGGTGACTATTCTGATCTTGTGGATGAGGAAATATGAGAGAGAGAAGCTGGGTAATTCATCCCAGTTCACACAGTAGTAGGTACTGGGCCTAGGGTTCACATGGCTGACCTGTCTCTAGGCTGCTCCCCATTTTCCACTCTGCAGGATGTCTGTTTGTGGCAAGTGCTCAGGGAATGTGAGTATGCAACTTTTTTTAATCCCAGCACTGGGAGGCAGAGGCAAGCAGATCTCTGTAAGTTTGAGGCCAGCCTGGTCTCCATAGTGAGTTCCAAGACAGCCAGGGTTACACAGAGAGACCCTGTCTCAAACAACAGCCAAACAGAGCAAGGATCAGTTAGTGTAACTGGTAGATTTTTCATGGGGATCAGGATCTCAGGATATAAGACATCTGGCACTAGTCACCCATTGCTGGCGTCCCTAATGTCTTCATGAAGTCTCACAGATGGGCAGGTGAGCCCTGTGTGGGCATACTGGGAGTCAGTGAGATTTATTTTATGATGAATTTGGGGAGTTCTCAACTCTCCTGTGGCCCTAGGACCTGGAGCATCAGGATTCTGCTGTAGTTGTGGCCAGAGGTCACGTGGGCCCCTCATCTGTTAGACTTGAAATACTGCTTCCTGGCATGTCCTTGCATACTTGTTATCTGGGTTTTCAGATTTCAAATGACTAACCTTGAGTCAGTAGATCTTACAGTAGATCTTTTAGGGGGCTAAATTATAAAAAACAGAAATGGGAGGAAAATGTCCTATTAAAGAAAATTCAGCCCTAAGTTCTGCTTATGGCTGACTTAGTAATTTATCTCTAAGCTTCTAGCTTCTTTACTATACTAAAGAAACTCTCCCTCTTTGTATTCTGAATCAAGCAAATCCATCTTTAATATATATATATTTTAATACCAAGGGTTCCCAAAACTGGAGAGGAGAGGAGGTAGGGCACCCCATATGTGGTGGGTGTTCCAGGGTTACGGGGGCATGTCTTCAGAATTCCTGAGGTGACTGAAGTTTGGACACAGCTCTCCACCTCCCAGGATCACTGTTTGGAATTTTTGTTTTCTCCATGTACTGTCTCTCTTTCCTCTCCTCCAGTGAAGGAAGCAAAAAAGAAGTTACAGAGCTAGAGAGTGTTTTAATTTTTCTGTTGAAGAGGGGTGTGGACATGGTTCCCGCTGTCTTATGGAGGAACTTGACCTGTGCACGTTGTCAGCTGAGCTGCCACCCTTTCCTGTGCTCCCAGCAGCACTTCCAGCTGCTGTGTGAGGATTTCACACGCTCTTTCCTGTGGTGCTCTGTAATCTAAGAACAAACCCAACAACCAGTTGCACTTCCACCGCATGAGATGCACCTGGTGTCTGTGGGTGTCTTTGGGCTCTAAGGGAGAGTGACATCTGGTAGGGAAGAGCCCACTGGTGGCACCAGGGAGACTGGGGACCAGGCAGGGCAGGGAGATGGCTGTGGCAGGTGAGGAAGGGCAGCAACACTAGGCTGGCCGCTGCAGTCTCTTGGCAAGGAGAGGCTGGGAGACTGTAGCACTCAAGAGTTCATGCAACCTCCTCTAGCCTTCTCTACTTGTTCCCCCAAAGCCTGCCTTCCGGACTGCTGCCTTCCCTCTGGGCTCCGGTGGAACTAGATCATGCTGGCAGTCAGGTGATGTGCAGTCACAGAATAAATCTTCTTCGTTCATATCTTTTAGGTGCTGACTGCTCTTGAATCCATGACACTCAGTAAGCAGTATGTGGAATACCAGGATCAGATACTGCAAGCTATACAGTTCATAAAGCATCCTGGCCATTGCCTTCAGAATGGGAAAAGCTTCCTGGCTCTTCTTGTCAACTGTCTCTATCCAGAAGTGCATTATTTAGACAACATACGATAGTGATGCCGAAGCCCTCCGAGACCCTCTGCTCTGGGCGTCCGTCCATCACTTTCACTGTTGCACATGTACCTTTGTTCAGTTTCACCGCAGAGCTCAGTTCTGCCAGGAACTTGATCAAGGTGCAGGTTGGGAGGCGTTAGATAGTTCTGGCTGTATGTTTGTCTCTTGTTGTCCAGAGACTTGTTAGATTTTGTGTTCTTCCACAGTGAACCTAAGTTCTGCTGAGTACAGAGCCACTCACATTTGGGAAATGTGCCAGTCAACTCCCTAAGAACTACAGATAGAGCTTTTGATATGTCTGCACTTCTGTCTCCCTGCTTTGTAGAAATGTCAAGACTCCTATGCCAGATCTGACTACTTTGGGAGTCATGAAGAGCCCTCTTTTGGACTCCGTTTGTATTCTTCCAATGTAAAAAAAATCAACTTGGAAAATGTCTGCATTTCTTAAATGTGGGGAAATACACCAGCTTACAAGTATTATGTTATTTCTCGTAGAGTAGAGATAATACACTGAATTAAGTCAGGAGTGGTGGTGCACACCTGTAATCAGCACTCGGGGGCTGAAGTAGGAGGATCATAAGGGTGGGGCAGTGTGGGGTGCGATCGAGTATCTCAACAAGCAAAACAAAACAGTCATACAGAAGACATGTCACTTAGCCCTGGCCACAGTGGACAGCAGAGACGGTGACACATCCGTTTTCAGCTGCATGTCCTCCGGAAGTGTGCCTTTCTGATTGACGTGGTAGCCTGTGCACGACAGCTGCTGTGCACAGGTGTGTCTTGTTTGGTCCATGTGGTGGGAGTGCAAACAGCACTGACGCCGCCACCGTGGCTACGAGAGCGCTCTATTCCCTTGAGACTCCTCATTCACATCGTTTTATTGGCTCTGTCTGCGGAAGTCCCCAACTCCTGACGTATGTCAGCACTCTCTGCAGGCCTACTGTCAAGGGACACTGGGTCTTTGTCCTTCTTCCCTTGGTTAAGTTTAGGTGAAACTCACAGACATGCTGGATGCATGCCCAGGGAGAAGGGCCAGGTCGGGGGATCTGAGAAATCTGGCTGTGGTGAGCAGCCCCGTGCTTCTGTCACTGTTGACAGTCCGTCTGCATTGCCAAAGCCTGTCTGGCACGCTGCCGGGTTCCCTCGACATCTCTTGCTCATGTCACTTCCTGCAGGAGTTAGAAATTAGACTTCTATCAATATATTTATAATTCTCAAAGTGGCCCCAAACCAATTTTGTTTGTTCAGCTTAAAATATACCTTTGTTTTTATAGGTCATGGCTCAGAGATACTTGTATAAAATCTCTGGATGGCCACCAAGCGCCTTGAGTAGAGATGGGGTTTACCGTTAGTGGGGTGCTGCCCCTTCATTGGAAGCTTTCGGGAATTCTTCTTACTGAGAACAACTCTGCCTGGTTGACATGCCTTGGAACACTGATGAAGAATGTCCCTATTCAGTGTCACAAAGTGTCATTGCACAGGGATATGTCTCAGCCTTCTTTGCCTCTCTCTGTTTCCCAAATCAGTCATCTTCCCTCCGAGGAGAAGAAAACTTGAGACGTGGTAGACAGTTGAGCAAGCAGCAGTGATTCTGTGACCAGGAAGTACTGTTTGTGTGTGGTTTCTCTGAGGAGAGCCAAGTTCCCAGTACCCTAGAATGTGAAATGTTTGAGTGATAGTGTATACATTTTAGAGAACCAATTAATTTTGCAAGTTTGTAATATGTGTAAATTTTGTCTGTAAAAAGCATAAACAATAAAATCAACTTTTGATTATAACTGATGATTCTGAATTGAAGGCTAATGTAGATTTTTTATGCCTGATATTAAATTTATTTGGCTTTGTGACTAGTCAGTGAAAGTGCTGCTTTTTCATCCTTGCGTAATATCTGAGAGTGCTCAGATCCTAGGAGCAGCACTGGGCTGGGTGCTCTAAAGATGTGAAACAATGCAGAACAAAGAAAGCGCCCGCACACAGCCTGGCTCGCTGCTTCAAGGATGGACCAGGCTTTGCTAGGACAGGGGTTCACTCCCAGAGTGCAAAGCCATGGCATCAGAGACAGTGACGAGCACTTGACGTCCTGTTCAACAAGGTCAAGGTCTGAGCAATGTGGATGGTGGACCATTGAAGGCTCAGAGGCTCCTGCACCACGGCATCAAGTCCTTCCAGGAACAGAAGGGGAGTTTTGATCTCATTGGAAGTGCCTCTGCCTCTCCAGTCATCACTCACCACCCCGGGGTGCACACATGGGGCAGAGACATTGCTTTGGCCTTCCATCTCCTTGCTCTACAACCTCACTAGACAGGAGAAGGCAGAGGCTGTTTCTTTTGGCAGAGAGGTCCTGTGGCTGTCAGTACAGTGTGATAATGGCTGTGATACATATACTTGTGTCTTTATACATTTCTAAAGCTCTTGCACACTTGACCTTGCCTCTAGACTTGACTGGTATCTTGCTGGTTAAGTGTTCCACCTCTCCTGTATTGTGCCCAAGTCATTTGGTTCTTTGGTGTCAGAAGATGTGAAATGTTGATGCTCCGCCTAAATTAGCCAGCAGTCTTGCTCCACCAAGGCCAATCAGTCTAAGCCCTGGTATGTCCAAGCTCTTCATCTGAATCAAGGTGCTGATACTGATTTTCAAAGATGTGTATTTGAAAAATTACTCCTAAAGTGGGAAGCCAATGTCTAGAATCATGGACAGAGTCAGTACATTAAATACCTCAATCTCCTCAGTGGGGACCCTCAACTTCTCTACCTGGCCAGTGTCTTGGAGTCCACTGCTGGCCCAGCCTCACCTATGCTCGGGCTCTCTGGTTCTGCTTATCTTGAGCCAGAACAATTCCTGGTGACCTTGCCTATTGGTTGTGGATCTGCCTGGAACACCTGGGCACGGCCTGTTCTCTTTCTCTTAGTATACCTTGAGACATTTCCCCTTGCCACATCTCTGACCTCTTCTACCCTTACCCCTTAGTCCTCTCCAGGTCCATGCTCAGAATTCTTAGTACTCTTCAAACATGATATCCAATAAAACTGCTTTGTGGGGGCAAAGTGCCCAAATCAGTCCACACTGCTGTGCCAAGGATTAGTAGTGCCTGAACTATGATAAGACAAACAGAGCACCTGGGAACATGTTTCACTTGGCACTCACAGGTGCAGGGAGAGAACACATCTCTGTCTTTCTTATTTGTGGTGCTTTTGCTGCCTTTTTCTAGTCCCTGCCCCAGTATTGTCGTACTCCTGTAGGCCAGGCAGTGCAAATCCCTCTAATACACACTGGGGCAGCATCCGCTCCCATTGTGTTCTGTAGTTGGCACATTAACCTAGCATTGAGTTAAACTGTAGACCCTTTAATAACAGTCACTGCCCAAGACCAGGTTTGTGGAGCATCTACTTGGTGGGCGCCAATGATCAGGCTCTTTGAACCTCATCCTTGCTCACTTCTCAGCTTACTTTGAGGTAATAGCTGATCACGGTAGGTGAGACTCTTGACTTAGAGCCAGGCCCTAAACAGATTCTTCTGCTCCACCAGGGCGCTCCTGTTTTTGAGCATGCAAGGGATCATGTGGCCAGAAGCAGGTCACGTGCTTAGTGAGTTTCCTTCATTCTACACAGGTTCCTCATTCCTCTTGAGAATAACTTGGAAAAAAATCTATGCTACTCCGATTTTAGTAATAAGAGTGCTAAGGAATGTTAGTTATACCTTGTTTTCAATGCATTGTGTAATACCACTGAGCACTGAGGGAATTTTTCTTTCAGTGGTTTAAGATGACCTAGTGGCGATCAGTACTGACAGTCTTCTTGGCTTGTCTAGTGTGACCTTTAAAACCACAGTTTTATTTTGGTCATTAACTGTGCAATATTTACTTCTGATTCATTGTTTAATATTTTCTGTGCTTGTATGAAGGACACATTTTTGTCTAATGGTGAGAAATGGAAGATGTGAGACTTAGTGAAGTGAAAATCTGCAAATAAAGAACATTGTGATTTACCCATGCTGAGCCTGTCCCATTGTTCTCAGCAAGTAGGTTGGCAGGCCTTTTCCGATATAAATCACATTAAGAGAACTTTTAAGTTAGTTGATTTGTGATTGCTAAGAATCTTTTTTTTTAAAGTTCATCACAATGGTAAGCCCTCTAGTTTCAAAGAAATTTTCTAACGTGTGTGTGTGTGTGTGTGTGTGTGTGTGTGTGTGTGTGTGTGTGTGTGTGTCGGTTTGGGGGTGGTGGTTAAGAATTGATATGTATGGGAGGCCATGAGATAGAAGAGCCCTTGATAGCTGAAACAGCTGTTAGATGCCCTTGACCTCTGTAGGAGGACCTTGACCCCTTCAGTAGGAGGGCCTTGAAAGCTGGGCAAAGGCTCACAAGGTGTGTGTTGAACAGAAATGTTTGGGGTGCTGAGAGGCAAGAGTGGCAAAGCCCACCCTGAGTTTGCTCAGGGTCTGCTATGGAAATTTGCCTTTGGTGTTAGTGTGCCACATTTCCTGCTTAGCGCTGAGGTTCGTGGACACTAAAAATACATCTGGAATGCACCAAACTGTGGATGGATGTTGTGGAATATTAGTTTAAGATGTATTACATTTGTTTATGCTGTGGAATATTTAATGATGCAAAGATGTGTTGCATTTTTGTTGCATTTGCTTAACTCTGTAAAGCTGTGTTACTTTGCCTGCCTAAAACACCTGATTGGTCTAATAAAGAACTGAACGGCCAATAGCGAGGCAGGAGAGGGATAGGTGGGGCTGGCAGGCAGAGAGAATAAAGAGGAGGAGAAATCTGGGAAGGGAGTGAGGGGCGAGAAAAGGAGAAGAGGAAGACATCGGGCCAGTCATCCAGCCACACGGCCAGCCACGGAGTAAGTAGGAAAGAAAGATGTATGAATAAAGAAAGGTAAAAAGCCTAGAGGCAAAATGTAGTTAAAAGAGAAACAGGATAATTTAAGTTAGAAAAGCTGGCTAGAAACAAGCCAAGCTATGACCAGGCATTCATAAGTAAGAATAAGTCTCTATGCATTTATTTGAGAGCTGGGTGGCAGTCCCCCAAAGAGTAAAAAAAAAACAAAAAAAAAAACCCAACTACAGATGGGGGATCTGCAGATTCCATGTAGGAATAACAGTAATTGATGATTCTCCAAGAACAGTTTTCTGGGTGTAAGGTGTTCACAAGGATGTGAACCCATCTTTGTGTGGGTTCAACCTCCTTTTCCAAAGAGAACCACAGGGTTTAGGGTTTGAAGAACCAGTATGTTCTTTCTAGCCTTGCCACCTGCACCGCATTGGGAAGTGCAGTCTTGGAAGCACTGTCTTTGGGGTCCTCTCCCTGACTCCTGGCCTACCAGAGGGGAGTCCCAGATGTGACAGCTTTTGACTATGGCTTGTGTCTCTGGTCCTTGCTTGCCATTGACAGCCTGAGCCTGCTCAGAGGTTAGATATGGGAGGACAGGCATCTCGTCACATCTAGATCTTGGGTACAGAGGGGGTGGTTACAGGCTGTTCTGTCACCGTATTCCCCACTGCCCCTTGGCCAGTCTTTCTGGAAGCCAGTCAGGAGGCTTCCCTGTGCAGCATGGCAGACGATTAAAGGAGATGGCAGTTCCCCTTGGGCACCCTGTTGCCCATCATGGAAACCACTGTCATGGGCTATTCCCCTGAGGAATGCTGTTGCCTTCACTCTCGAGAAGGCTACTGAACACAGTGTGGGTACCTCAGCAAGGACCACCAGGTTGGTGACCAGCACTGTGATGGAAGTCAGGCATATCAGAGAGTAAACCTCAGACTTCAGCTGCCTCGGAATCTGGTTACAAACAAACAGAGACATTTTGAGGGCAACTGGGGAAATGTGAATATGGGCTGTAAGGCAGAGCCACTAAATGTAACACAGAGGAGACTGTGCACACGTTCTTCAAGGTGTTTAGGTTTCTGGATAACTGGGAATCTGCAGCTTACCTGCAAATGGTTTATTCAGATCTGCAGTAAGGAAAAAGCAACTTGTGAGTGATGTTGATGGAGGTGCTGGGTGCATGGGTGCTTTTCTCCAGCTGTTTGTGTGTGGGGGGCAGAAGTTGAAAAAGATTAAAACAACAAAACCATGGGGGCAAATTCTCCTGAAGATACTGTTTAAAGTTTAGTCCCTTCCCTTCCGTGTGGGTCAGTAGGGCCAGGTAATGCCAGCATGGGTATGTATTTAAACAGTGTCCCAGGTATTCCTGACACAGGTAACCCTTAGGTCTTACGGGAGATGATGGATGAAAGCAGGAAGAACTGCTCAGCAGTACCAGGAGACTAGCACCATAGCAAGTCCTTGAGTGCCAACTCCTGCTACCCTCACCCCAGGTAGGGGTGAAACAGACCTTAGCACAACTGACTCCATGATGAAAGTACCATTCAGACCATAAAACTCAGCACAGCACCACCTGCTAGAACAAAAAGACCTAATCCATCCAAGTCCATAGTTCTGGGAAGTCTCTGAATGCGCCTAACCTTGCTTTTTAGCTTCTGTAGTTCTACTTCTGGCCAACTGTTCTTTTTAACTGAAGTATGTCAACCCAGGATTTGTTTCTTGTGCTTAAAAGCTCACCCTGAGAATGTCTTCATGCTACACTAGGATCCTAAACACCCAGTGTAGTCACTGGCTAGCTAAAAAAGATTTCTATTAGCTTAAACCCATGTCCGAGCAGTCTTTTCTGGTGGGTACCCCATCCAGCAGTGTTCTGCCCACTTTGTCTATATCCTGCCTCTTCCTTTGTGCTCCAGAAACAAATAACTGCATCCATAGCATGCCATCTTTGCTTGGGTTGTTCCTGTGCTTCAAATGCTCCCCTTTCTTAACCTTCTAATCTCTATGCTTCCCCATTGTCTCCCCCATCAGCACAGCCAATGCATACCATCTTCACATATGTTCTTCCAGGAAACCTTCCTAAAACAGAGTCAGTTAGCCCTTTCATGGGCATGGTTTTGGACTCACTGTGTGGCTAACAAGCTTGAGAGTTTCTGGAAGGGATTACTGTGGTATATTTAACCATTGCCATTCTCCATTCTCACAAATTTTCTTAGTGTTCCTCACATATCGTTTAGGGGTATACTGCTTGTTCTCTTGAGTGAACAGGCATGGTTAGCAGTAGGATGACTTGCAGAGGATTCTGTTTACCTCCAGTCTAGCAGTTCACAACATCAGAGATGGATTCCTGTGATCTGGGTTCCCAACTAACAATGAACCTCCTGCTAGTCTTCAATGGGAACGTGGTGAGTGTGGGGCAGCTATGCTTGGTTGTCTACTTGACTATGTAATCAAATATGTAATCAAAACCCAAGTGGCTGGATACACCTGTGAGGGTGTTTCTTAATTAAATCTTTGAAGTGGGAAGACTCACTTTTAATCCTGGTCTTTTGAGATCCACCTTTAATCTGGGACACACCTTCTGTTAACAGTCTATATAAAGGACATAGATGAAGGAAGCTTTCTTTGCCTGCTTGCTTTTGCTGGCAAGTCCATTCCTACACTGGCATTAGAGCCTACTTCTTCAGGATTCTGGCATATACTGAAGACCAGCCGAGACATCCAGCCTGGTGGACTGAACAACTCCTGGATTCTTGGACTTTCCTTTGGTAGACAGCTATTATTGACCTAGCTGGAGCACAGCCTATCAGCCATTCTAATAAATCCCTCCTCCTTTCTCCCTCTCTGATATATATATATATAATTCGTTCTATAAATTCTGTTCCTCTAAAGAACCCTGACTAATACAGTGTGAAACAAATATCATTTTCAGCCACTGTGATTTTAGGGCTTGTTGCTGCAGTGCAGCCTAGCTTATCCTGACTGATAATGATGTCTTCTTCAGTCTCAGATACCAATTCCTAACACAACAAAGTATGCACGCAGTAATTCATATAATTCGCTTGGATATGAAAACAGCTTCAAAGACCAATGACGTGCTACTCCACACCATATCCATGTCCCTATCTTTCCTTGGTGATGCAAGGCCCTTGCTGGAGACACTCTAATGCTCCCCTCTGCAGGGAGGTCCAGATGTCAACTCCTATGATCTCTTAACAGCTGGATCCTGAGATAACTGAGCTGTCATCAACCATTTGCCTTGGCTGAGATTCTGGTGCTGAGGAAAGCCTGGAAGCCTACTGCCCTCAACCTATAACATTGGTCCCTGGAAAAACATGGTCTCTTTAGCCTCCTGTCTTGTGGTTTACTTGGTCCCAAGTACACCTCTTCTTCCACAGGATCAACAAATGCACACTGAAATATAAATAAGGAAAACACTACTCTTGAAGTGAACCTGGCTGGGCTCAGACAAGTGGGGAGAAATTGCCAGCGCTCTTGGATTTGGTGCATCTCATGAGGGTGTACGCTGCACAGAGAGGTCAGAGCTACAGTTGCCATATTCTCTAGAACCCAGTGTCCCTTCAGGTCTCCCAGTTCTTGACATATGGCTTTCAGATGCTTTGAGATAATGGGTCTTCGGTTTCCTTCTCCTGGTTGGTCCCAGCTCAAAGCAGTGTGGATCAGCTGATATGACCTCAGTTGAGCAGAGGGCTGAGACAGTCCCTGTGGAGCTCTCAGAAGGCTCCAGGCCTCTTCTTGCTATCAAGTTTCCAGAGTTGGCAGTTCCTCTGAGCAGTGTGCACAGCTCCAGCCCCAGGCTTGTTCTCTGGAGTGCTTCGGTCTCCAAAGGCTGAGCGGTGCCACACTTATCTCAATTCTCCATGTCCAAAGGCCCACAGTTGAGACAGATTTGTAGTTTAACTGCTCCTTCACATCTACTCTTTCCTCAGTTCTAGACAAACTGGCCAGTCATGGAGAATCTGAGGCCCAGAGATGTGAAGAAAGTGTCCTGGTCTATACCGCAAGTTGGTGCCAGAGCAGGCTGGAGCCTGGACCTCTAGACCTTATGGCTAGTTTCCCATCTGCTTTACTATATAGTTCTAAGAAAGAAAAATACAAAGTAGTTTTTCCAGAAGTTCGTGCTGAGGCTCATGTGGGCATACATATACGTTTACATCCAGATTGTTGGCTCCATGGCATAATACCGCAGGGCTCTGAGCCTCTGTGAGCAGCGTCCTGGGTCCCCTTGGAAGTTACCTGGCCCACAGTTGCCAAGAAACCTGGGAATTAGAAGGAGCTGTGCAGGTCTAGCCTGGTGCTGTCTTTCATTTCTCATGGTGCACGACTGGTTGACGATGCCCAAGGAGTTCCTCATGGCAAACACGTGGCGGCTGGTGGCCTGGGGGATTCATCTGGTTCAAATTTTCATAATTGGACTCCTGAGCCTGAGACCTGCAGGCAGGAGAAAATTGACTTACCATCCAATGTTTGGCGAGGTCCTTGACTTCCCGAGCTATGTCCCAGTAACAGGTCAAGGAAGACACCGAATGGGAGGCAATGGAGCCAGAACCAGCAAGGTTGATTAATATAAGACAGGGAGATGCTGCAGGTGACAGCATCCCCAACCATGCTCACCATCTCCTACAAAGTGACGTTCTCAGGGGCTTCAAAAACCAGCTCCATGCCCCCAACGTCCCCAGGCTTGACTGCTTTCCAGACACCCACACCTCCAACCTCCCATCACCTGTTCTAAGCATAGCACACACCCTTCCCTTACCCCCCTCTTCCCTCCTCATCTCTGTGACCAGGGCTTGGCTCCAACCCTAGTGTCCTGTTTCCCTCCCTTACCCTCAGTGCCTTCCCTTGGATGTTGTCAGAACAGGAAAAACAGCAGCCTCCTTCTGGGTCTCCCTCGAGGACCCCTCTTTTCCAATACGACCTCTCACACAGGACCCCAAAGCATTCTGACTTCCACCTCATTTAGAATTACCCCCAACCTTGCCAGCCCATCCCACATTTCCATGCCCCACCCCATGCTTCCCTCCCTCCCACATCCCACCTGACCTTTCTACTTGCAATTTCTACTCCTGGGATATATATCCCTACCACCTTGGCCTCCCTAGGCTCCAACCTCTAGTGTGATCTCTTTAGATCTTCAGAGAAAATAGCCTGATCTAAAGGAGTCATAGCCAACTGGCCACATACTGGGACTCTGCTTGATCACTGGGTCCAATTCCTGTTACAACTCAACAATCCCAGATGGTCTTGCTATGTGCTTGTGAAAAACTATACACCTTGAAGTGCAAGTTTGGATTTTTTTTTTTCCTGTCTCTTTAGCATCCAAATTATTGCCTGCCATATAGTAGGTATTCAGTAGGTATTTGTTAGGTGAGTGTGAACCACAGGTAGTGTTATGACTTTGGTCTTGTGCTCCAATAAAGGAAACACATGTATGACAGGTTGTGAGACTTGAGCAGGGAAGAGGTGAGTCCCTCAGCCGGCACCAGGCAGAGAGCTCTAGCATCGAATTCTTTCTCCTTCAACATGGGCCTTTACTGGGGTAGACACCGAAGAGGAAAGAATGGAAGCCTGGTTGATGTCTTTCTAGAGCCCTCTTCTAAACCAGGTTCTCAGTGATCTTGTTTGGGAAGCACAGATAAACCTGGGAAAATAAGTCTTCCTATGATGGCATTCTTACAGGGCTCTTTTCTAGAATGCTGGGAGCAACAAGAGGAAACAGCTTGGTGGTATTAACTTTTAGGGTCACAGACACCAAGCTCCTTGTGTGTTGAGTCGGGGTGACAAGCCAGCCTGGCCTACTCTGTCCCCAGAATGGTATGCTGGATGGAGGGGCAGGGTGCATTGGGTATGATGCTGGCTCTGGTCCAGCCTACTAACCTTGCCCTAGGCCTCTTCTTTCTTCTCATACTACCAATTCTGAGAAACTGAGATCCCTGGACCAATGAAACTAGGCAGGGGTGGGGTGGGAAGGGCAGGAAGTAAACTTACCGTGGAGGGGTGTCCTGAGTGACCAAGTGATCTGTGGGAGGGAGACAGAGAAAGAGCAGGTGTGATTTTACACTGTAGCCTCCAACCTCCATGCCGGCTGCACACCTTACTGTGGGAAGTGGTCCCCACCCCATTGTGAGAGGGCATCCCCAGGAATTGTGCGACAGGCATCGGATGGATAGCTAGCCGGAGTGACTCTGAAGCCTTCATCTGATAGATGAATAGGAGTTAACTTGTGGGAGTTAAGGGAGATGTGGTCCCACAGAGCAAAACTGCCTTTCTGAGGGAGGACCCTGAAACACAACGCGCTTGTTTGAGAAACCAGGAAGAATGGCAGGGTCACAGCAAAGTTAGCAGCTGGGGCCCTGCGATCAGTTCTGCGTGTCATCCCTGTAGAATTTGAGGGTAACGTCATTAGTCTGGGAGCACTGAAAGGCTCTGAGAAGGCCCCTCCCTCTCCGGGGTTCTCATCAAGCAGACGCCCCACCAGCGTCAGGGACAGCAGCGTGGAGAGGCTTTCTAAAAGTGAATGGGTTCCCCAGCCAGGTGTCCCATTTCATCTTTTCCAAGCTCACGTGTCCTTACATTTTTTAAGCTTAGTTCTCACCTCACTTATTAAGGCCTCAGAATAGCAGGATCCTCTGCCTTCTACAGTTTCTGGAGTCTGTGGGAGCCCTTCTCCGGGGGTGGGGTACTGCAAAGCTCTGCAAACTCAGCCTCTCACGGGCTGGTAGAGATTCACATCCTGGCATCTTGGTGTCCTCAGCATCATGGCGCAGGACCTCGGGGCCTCAAGATGCTAGTTACAATGTAAGGGGAAGCCGGAGGCCTGGCCTTTATGGGACACTGGTTTGTAGCGTGGTGATTAAAAATAACCTGTTCTACGGCTGACAGGACTGGGTCACCATCTGTGTGACTCTGCAAAGAGCAAGGTGCTTTGCAGAGCTCAGCTTCCTTGCTGCATAGAGCCTCCAGCCGGTCCCACCTCCGGGGCTGCAGGTAGAGAAGGAACTGAGCTGGTGCAGGTGGAGAAAGGACGTTCTGATGTGCCATGCCTGGTGGTCCGCCAGAAAGAGGAGGGGGCACCTGTCCTCTCCCTCGCACCCACCCAAATCTGGGGTGCACCCACCTAGTCGTCGGCGGGTGGCGCGCGCGCCTAGAACGCCAAGCAGCAGCAGCGCCTTGAGGCCCAGCGCGCCGAGCAGGAGCGCCAGAGTCGAGGCTCCTCCGGGGGCGCCATGGAAACGGAACAGGTAGACGCTGGCCTCCGCGTGGCCCAGGCTATTGGCTGCAGTGCACGTGTAGCGACCATCCCGGGTCAGCGCAGGCAGCTCGGCCGTCACCTGGTAACCGTGACCCTGGTCCCGCGCGGCAGCCGAGCTGTTGCCCAAGGCCGGGCCGGACCAGGAGAGGGCAGGCGGGGGCTCCCCCTCGGCGGTGCAGAGCGCGCGGAAGGCGTGCGAGGGGCCTGGTAGCACCGAGATGTTGACGATCCGGGGTGCAGCTGCAGGGGGAAGAAGGAAGGCGCGGGTCACCGGACAGAGGACAGTGCCCTGGGAGCGTGAGAGAGGCGACGGTTTGGTAAGGCAAGGGGTAGCGACTTCCAAGCTGGAAGAGCGGGACTCCTGGGCGCCAGGCTGCCTGGGTCCTTTTGCAGCTGTGCGTGGTCTTAGCAACCTATTTCTCTTCTTTGCCTCAGTTTCTCCGTGTGTACACTGGTAATCACAATTGCCTTTATTTTAAGGGGTCACTGAGATTTGGCAAACTAATACTTGTGTGTTGCCCAGACTACTATGCTTGCAGCTGGTGCTCACCAAAGGGTCATGACACAGGGAGGGGGCCAGCTGCAGCATAGTGCTCTAGGGACAAGGGAGGTGCAGGGGTGGGGTGAGAAATTCTTCAGCGCAGGTGTCGCACCTCCTACTGCACCCCTTGCCGCCTTTAGGGTTATTGGTTGTTTTTCTCTCCTTCCTTATGAGCTACTAGTGTTTACAGGCATCAGGACACCACCAATCAGTCCCAGCCCACCCTTTCCTGGGATCTGAACTCTGCATTTCTACCAAGTTCTCAGAGGCCTCCCTGGCACCCAGTTCGCTCTCGGGACAGGGATGCGGGGAAGTAGGGCCCACGCCCCTCGGCAGCCAGCCCGCCTCACCGGTCACGCGCAGCCGGACCCCGTGGCGGCTCTCATAGCGGTCGTGGGCGTCGCCGGCGAACTCCACTCGGCAGAAGTAGCGGCCACTGTCCGCCAGGGCGAGGCGCTCGACGCGCAGTGACAGGTCGTTGCGGCGCGGGTTGCCCAGCAGGCGGAAGCGGCCCTGCAGGCTCAGCGCGGTCTGGCACAGCTCGCTGCCGCGCGCCGCGGTGCACCGGAACACCTGCGGGCCCGCGTACGGCTCGCCCGCGCGCCAGATGACCGTCAGCGGCCCGTCGTAGTGGCGGTGCGGGTGCGTGAAGGTGCAGGGCAGCATCGCCGCGTCGCCCGCCTCCGCGCTCACCTCGGCGGGCACCTGCATGGACCAGCGCTGCTCCGGCGCGCCTGCCGACCGGGGACACATCAGACCTAGCCTGGGGAGACCCGGTCCCCGCCCTCTGGCGGCATCTCGTACCCCCACCCTCCACCCTCGAGGGGAGCTGCAAACACTAGGACTCAGGCAGCGCTCAGTTCATTTTGACTGGAACCCTCCCTAGACCTACACCAGGGCTAAAGGCAAGGGGGCGGGATGGAGACTTCTCCAGACCCTTCCTTAGGACGGTTTGCCTCATTCATGGTGTATGACCTAGTGACCCACACAACTCTTTAGTATTATTCCCCATCAGAAACCTGTGCAGTTGCTGAAACACTGTGTTATTCCGTAATTACAAGATCCTTAAGATGATAAAATCACTTACTGTGCGCCTCTGTGTTGAGCAAATCCCCTAGAGCATCCCTTCTAGTTTTCACAAGTGATCCTAGAGATAAGCATAGATACCCTGTTACATGTTAATAAACCGAGGCAGAAAGAAGTTAAATAACTGAGGTCACAGCTAGGTCGAGGCAAAGCCAGTGTTCACATCAGACCTGCCTGGATCCACAGCCTCCATTATAGTGCCCTAAAGGCTTGAAGCTGTAGATTCATCTGAAGGTGCTAACAGTCTGATTTGTAGAGGAGAAACCCAGGCCTTGGGAGGGGACAGTGCTTTTAAACAGTGCTGAGTTGGTAGGAACAATTCCTTTAGAATCAGGATCAGCCCAAGAGGACTGTGTCCTGGGTTGGCTTCTTACATGGCTAGTGTCCATGCAGGGAAAGGTGAGACCAGAGAGGTGGGTGCTGTAATGTCTCCTTGCTTTGCAGAGAGGGCCTGGGGGTCTAGACTCCTTTGTCCTATCTTCTACCCAGTGAACATTCTTCAGGATGTAGAGGTAAGGGTCAGAAGCTGAACCCTGCCTCCAGTTCACCCACCCAGTGCTGGCAAACCTCAGGGTTGCTGTGGTTTTGAGGGTGCAGGTGCTCAGTCTCAGCGGCTTATGGCAGGGGTGGTACCTCCCCAAGAGGAGGCAGGTGGTTGATCCTGCCTAGCCAGTGCCCCGGGGCACAGTGCACAAAAGGGACCTTTACAGGGAATAATTAGAATTGTATTATCCACAGTTCCTTTATATGCACCATGCCATCCGCCCTGAGAGCATCCAAGAGGCAAAAGACAAGACAGGGATTGTTAGAGATGCATAAATGGAGGCCAATGTCAGGCAAGTAGGAAAGAGAAAAAGCCAGTTTTCCCCCGATGCTGAGCCCAGTGCTGTTTGTGGTCAGCTAGCCTCATTGACTTCTTGGGGAGAAATATCCTCAGGCCTCCACTGGTAGCCCAGCTCCCATGGAGCCGGTACACCTGTGGATGGACAAGGTACTCTTCCTGCACAGAAGCACTCCAGACCTGCTGTTGCTGCAGGGACATGTACCCGTCCACGCTGGCACTTGTAGGAGCTCATTGTGGCTACCCTTGGACTCACTACCTTTTCCTGATGGGAGAGGCTGGCTCCTTCACCTGCCCCTCCCCCCCTCTTCCTTTCAGTTCAAACCCAGGCCCAGGTGGCCCCAGTGTGTGGCTCCTGTAGAGTGTTGTGAGCTCTTGGGCTGAGGTGCTGCACCTCCAATTGCGTCCTGCTGTGGGCACACAGCCAGAAGATCATCAAATTAAACCACAGTTCTTTTTTCATACCACCTGTTTTTTTTTTGGCTTAATCTTTTTTGCTCTAGACAAGTTGAATTGCATGTTTGAATTCAAGTGGAGGGCTTAACATTTATCCTTAGTAAGAACTTGTTTGTTCAGTTGTTTGTTATCAAAGGGCTGCTTTTCAAATTTGAGAAAACTGAAGATTGTGCCGATCCAGTCAGCACTTCTAGCTGCAGAAAGTCTTCTCAGGTCTGTCTGTCTGTCTGTCGCCTGTCTTTCTGACAAGGTAGCTCAAGCTGACCTGGAATTCACTGTATATTCCCATCTGACTCAGACTTAGTCACGCTTTGGCTGTACTCTCTTGGTGCTGGACTACAGGCATTCACACCATGCTCACTTGATTTTGCTGTTGTTGTTGAGACGGGGGCCCTACTATGTAGTCCAAACAGGCCTTGAACTTGAAGTCTTCCTGCCTGCCTCATCTTCCTAGAAGCTGGGACTATGGATGTGCAGCCTCAGCCCCTACCTCAGTTTCCCTGTGCTTCCTACACTCTGTGACCTTAGCCTGTTTTGGTCTTCGCATCTTGCTGGCTCAGGGGGTCAGGCAGGGATCGCCTACGCATTGTCTGCTAGTGTGCATTCATCAACTCAGCAGACGTTTATTGGATACTTCCGCACTCCACGCCAGGTGCTGGGGTATGAGCTGTGGAGGCAGAGATGAACAGGATACCCTATCAGCCTGCTGGAGCTAGGTGGAGAAAGATCAGTGAACATGTAATTATGCTGCACGCTGCCAGGTGCTCCACGGAAGGATACAAACAATATTGCCTTTGTCTGAACATGGTTCCCAGCCCACTTTCACTCACCGGCTCCCTCCTATTCAACCCCTGTTCTCTACGGAATCACCCCTGCCAGAATATTCTTCTCTGAGCCCCAAACCTGGCTCTGGCATCTCTCCCCTGCACCCTGGGATGAAAGGGGGTCAGGCTGTCAGAAGGATGGGGGCTGATATAGAGAATATACGGGGATTGTGTGCAGCAGGCAGGGATTGTAGAGCCCATCAGAGAGGAGGCGCATGTGTGTAGAGCCCAGAGAATGTAGGGAATTCCACCAAGACCCGGGGCAACAGCCTGTGCACAAGGAAGAGGGGAACCAAGCCATAAGGCATGGCACCTGGAAGACATGGCGATGTGTGCCTATACCCCCAGCCCTTGGGGTGAAGAGTACTGGGAGTTCAGGACACTCTTAGCTACACAGGGAATTCCAGATACAGGGAATCCTGTCTCAAAAAACTAGAAAAAGGAAGCGTGAGGCATGGACATCACTGGGGCAGAGAAGACCCGATGGGGCGTAGAGGTCAAACTACTGAAGATGAGGTTTGTTGGGAGTCATTCCTCATCTCATTTAAAACATAGAACTCCATGAGATGTCATCATTGGCCCACTTGTGAGGAGGGGACCTGGGCTTTGTAGAGCTCAAAGTGACCTGGCAAGGTCTGTTGGTGGCTGACTAGCAGCAGAGCCTTGGCTTTCCCCTGGATGGTTTGGCTTCCATTATTTATATTCCTACCTTAACCTCCATGCTCAGTCGCTTAAGAACAGTTGTAAAATAGTCTCTTTTGTTCCCCCACGGAAAAATCTTCTGTTTGTTTGACTAAACAAAACTAAAATAAGCTGCATAGGAACGATTTTAAATTCCAAAGAGAACCAGATTGTTTTAAAGGCAGCAGTATTATTTTAATGCAGTATTTTAAAAGGCAGTAAAACACAGCATTTCCTTGCGGCTTCCCAGCCTTCACATCCACTGCATGATACGTTCAGATGCCTTTTAGCTCACATAGGAGGTTTGCAACGCTTCTCCACTGGCTCTTCACCTGCTCGTTGCCCGTCATGCCTGAGGCCAGCGATAGTAACATTTAAGGTTTTAAAGGTAAAAATCCCCAAAGAGGGAGGGGCTTGCAAGAAAAAAAAATACACCTTTGCCTTGAAGTTTGGGGAAAATCCCCCCAGCTACTGACTGCCATGATGAACTTGGAAATACCATAGCAGCATCAAACGTGGACAGAGGCAGCCAGAATCCCAGACAGGCTTGTAGTGAGGGTTCTGCTGCCAGGGGAGGTGTGCTGGTGATGTGTTGTTTCCATCGGCTTTGGTGTAAGAAAATGGTAAGAGAGGCTTAACTTAGTCGCTCTAATGTCAGGCAACAGGCCTCTGTGAATTCCTGTCTGTACCCTGCTGTGAAATATTCTAAAATGTGGTCTGAACAGTAGGCCCAGGTGGTGTTCCCTCTAACATAGAGACCCTTTCACACCAGAGGCACCGTCCTGGCTCCCGTTAGCAGAGAGGTGCTTTTCGCTTCTGAGTGGGCTCAAAGGAGCAAATGGATGCTTGGATTCTCTTAGGCAGAGTCCTTTGGATGGGCCCACCCAGAGGACTCAAGGTGAAGGTGAGCAGTCTTTAGCAGGTATTGTCCAGAGAACAAAGACATTTGCATTGGCAGAGATCCTAGCTCCTGGCTTCCGGGGACATTTAGCCTGCCTCTGGCAGCTCTCGACTGCCTGCCGAGAAGTGGCGCTTTCTGCAGAGTCTGTCTGCCATGTGTCGGGCAACTTCCAGGGGTCAATGGGAAGCCCACATTCTTCTTGTTGCCCCAAGTGTCTGCCTCCAGTGATGGGCCACCAGGGATAGTAGGTGCATGCCAGCTTTGGCGTACATAGCTGAACCTAGGTGACCATTCCAACTCTGGTAAGAAAATATAAACTGAAAAGCTAGAAAGTGGTTTCTGTAAGGCCATTTAAGGCAACAAGGATTGACACCTGACATTCACTAAGGCTGGAAGGAGTCCGTGGAAACAGTGAAATCATGGAGCAGCAATGATACAGTAAAACCATTGTTTACAGGAGGAAAGCCATAGAGCTGTGACTCACCGTGACCTCGTATCAGGCCGAAGTGACCAACCTATAGTGCCATTTGGAAGAAGAATAAATCTAGAGGGTTCTGACTCATCATGGCCCTGCAGCAGGCTGTGTAACAGGTGCACAAGGATGAAAGTTCATTGTCCTCAATGTTGTCTTGTTGGATGGAGAGGCAGGGACTCCAGCCCTGGCTCCAAAGTTGGTGGTGGGGCCTTATGTGAGGCTCTATGCTTGTTGGCTTGCTAGCTCCTCCATGAAATACTATTTCTGGATGTTTACTCAAGTGACTAAGTCTAAAATTCTGGCTAGCTGGGCATGCCAGTTCTCACTGCTATAATGCCAACCCCCCCCCCCCAAACCCCCCCCTCCCGCCCCAACACAGTCAGCCCATGGTGATGACTGTCCGTGTGGAATTATCTTTCCCCAGCTTTCAAAATTTATGGTCCTAGTCCTTAGGAGGCTGAAGCAGGGAGATCTTAAATTCAAGGCCAGCCTAGGCTGCATAGTAAGTCTCAGGTCAACCTGGATTATATGATAAGACTTTCAAACCACTAAAAAAAAAAAAAAAAAATCAGCCGGGCGGTGGTGGCGCACGCCTTTAATCCCAGCACTCGGGAGGCAGAGCCAGGCGGATCTCTGTGAGTTCGAGGCCAGCCTGGGCTACCAAGTGAGTTCCAGGAAAGGTGCAAAGCTACACAGAGAAACCCTGTCTCGAAAAACCAAAAAAAAAAAAAAAAAATCAAGAAAAAAAAATCACCTAAACCTTAAAGCCAAATATGGGGTAAAATTGACAGTACATAAAATATTTTAGAAATATGTCTAGTTAAAAACTTTTAAGTACTTAAAAGAAAGTCACTAGCTAACCAGTAAACAGTTCCTAGAAAAGATGTGTTCACACCTTACAGCTCCTTTACTTCTGTGTACATGGTCCAGTGATGCTCCCATAGGCCCCTCAAAGTGGCCACATCCTCATCATTGGGGTGCAGCTGGGGTAATTTGATGCACTATCCCAAAGGCTCCCTGAAGTGGGAAGGAGAAGGAACCCAGCCACAAAAGGTGGGAGGGAGAATCCAAACTGGATCAGAATTGGAAACCTTTGCTTTGGCCACAGCTGGCCAAAGATTTCCAGCAGTCCCACGGTGAGAAAGGAGGTAGGAATCTGCAAGGAGTCTATGTTGACCGTCTATGAGGTGCTGGACACAGACACACTTACTGCTTATCAGTGTGTGGTGGAGTAGGGACAGGCACTATTCAAGCATTAAAGGTCTCCTGGGATGGTCCAGACGGGAAAGTGAACCTCCTGGTGGGCAAGGGACTGTTTTGTAGGCAGAGTTTCCTGTCCAGACTGCCTGGTCCCAAGTAAACACACAGGGGCTTATATTAATTACGCACGCTTAGCCAATAGCTAAGGCTTATTATTAACTAGCTCTTATATTTAAATTGTCCCATTTCTACTAATCTATGTAATTGTCACGTGGCTCGTGGCTTTACCTGTCCTCTAGGATGTCTTGTTTCCTGGGTGGCTGGCTCTGCCCTTCTTCCCCCAAGCATTTTTAGTTTGGCTTTCCTGCCTAGCCTTATTCTGCCTTTCGATAGGCCAATCAGCTTTTTTTTTTTATTAACCAGTGAGCATAATATATATTCACAGCATACAGAAGGATTATTCCACAGCACTGTTTTTCTCAAAACCGCCTGGGCGTGCTAGCAGGGGTGTTCTCAAGAGCGGCTCCAGTGGTGGTCTCTTGGGCACTATGGCACCCAGAGGGACAGGTTTGGGGGCAAAAAGCTATGTTCAGCCTAATCATTAAACTTCACCAACGGGTGGAGCTCTAGCTCGGGTATGCTGCTGTTCACCGACCTTGTCCTACCTGGCTCTCCTACCCTTGAGCTCCCTCTAGCCATTATTTCTTTGACCTTGTAGGTGGCAGAACAGCTTGTCAGTGGAGAAGAGTCCAGAGAGGGAAAATGTGGACAGCAGAAATTCTATCCTTTAAGGACAGACCTAGAAGGTTCCAGAATGGGTGAGTCTGAGGTGTGTGAGTAGAAGGTCTAGTTAGTCTCCATCTTTCTTCAGGGATCCCCTTTAGCCCTGTTTCTCCAACCATGTGGGTGTGATGTGGCTGTGCATGTGACCCGGTCAGTCACCTGAGCTGATGGAGAGGCAGAGCCATAGGCTGGCCCTGGCCTGGAACCAGTGCCCACCATAGGGTGTTGTTCATGTATTTGGTCCCCGTCCTGGTCTTCAGGGTGGTTCTGGTTCTGCTCAGCTTCTGTCCTTCTCTTAAGTAGGGTTTCCTCAGTTGAGCAGACTTTCCCACAATGCTTGCTGGGAACAGGAAAGACCTTCTCATTTAACCGTCCCATTTCCTCCTGGCCTCAGTGATCTCGGTGACAGGGACCAGTTCTTTTGGGCTTATGAGAGTTAGATAACTGGCCTTCTCATAGCTTGTGACTGGTACCTGAAGTTTGCACCTGATATCAATTTCTCTGTCCTTAGCCATTCACAGATCTGCCAGTCCAGGTTGAGGCATGATTAACCCCTTAGATCCCGCCCTCAGAGAAACATTTCTGAGTTGGATCCCCTGAAGGAAAAACAGCCCTGACTGATAACCATCTCTACCACTGTGGGATGGCAGGTTATGAGTTGGAGGAAAGAGGGCTGAAGCCAGACACACCAAGGTTCATCTATCAGCTCTATGCGGGCCCTACACAGGGAAAGTTGACTGATAACTCAGAATGCCATCATGCCAGCATGTGGTACACGTGGCATCAATGGCATAGACACTGTTTAGGAGTGGTTATGAGGGGGATGTCCCCGGCTGGGGTGGGGGAGGACGGCTGGGGTGGGGAAAGGACTTCTGAGATTTGACTTTGCCATTTGTCCTCACCACTTTCAATCATCCTGGGCATTGGCCTCTCCTGGAAAGGTGGCTGGGTCTTGCTGCCTGATATTCTGATTCTGCAGATCATGGATAGAGCCCAAGAATTTGCATTTTAACTAGTGTGCTCCCCTGATTCTGAAGCAGGTAGACCCGGCAGCATCCTTTGAAATATCCCTGTTCCCAGGGAAGACTTTCCACTCATCCCACAGTGTTCCTGTTAGCAGGTTAGTGCAGCCTCTGTCCTTGGTCTGATTCCTCACACAGAACCATCCTCACCCTTGTCCCAGCACACCACAAGCTTGTGGTGTCCTTGTCCCTGGGGCAGTTGGGTGACAGCGACACTCAACCTCTATCCAGGGCCAGCACCTTCTTCCTCATTCTAGGGATTTACTCCCCTCACAGCAAACGATAGGGATGTGGCCTCTGTATAGTGGTGAACACTGAGGCACACAAGATCAGGGCACTGCCCCAAGTCACTTAGAAGCCCAAGACAATGTCACAATTCGGCTCTCTGCCCTCGGTCCCCACAGCCCTCTAATACACATAGCTTTCCTCCTGCATAGACCTGGAGGCTCTGGGCAAATGCAGCTGCTGAGTTTTGAGGGGAGGAGACCACAGCTAAGGCTTTCTCTATTCTGGGTCAGAGTAAGTAAGGGAACTCACCCATCTGGAGGACACATGCCAAGCAAGCCAGGAGCTGGATGGACCCTTCCATACTTGAACATCTGCACACCCAGCAGCCCTCTAGCCTGCCAGGCCACCACAGAGAACCCTCGTCGGTGTGGGTGTGACAAAGGCAGGTGGGCGTGCTGTGTGCCCAGTCTGCAGGCCCACCGGACTCTAAGGACGCTGGAGGAACTGGGGAGAGGCAGCCAAGCGGGCAGTGGCGTGATGAGGCAGGACCCGTGCACTTTAGTCATGGGGAAAGCCAACAGGAAGCCCTGGCGTGAGTCTCCCAGGAAGGAAGCAGGGAAGCAGAGGGGAAGAAGCAGGGCCCTTGCTCTTCCCCCCTCCCTCTTCTTTTCCTCTCATTTCTCCATCTCCCGTCCTAAAATTTTAGTGTACTAGGCGGTTTTGTCTCCCTGCCCCTTTCCCTTTTCCTTTTGGAAAAATATCATTTCCTGCAGAGGCTTTGTCAAAGTGCTGAGGGGCCTGTCGCGGTGGTGACACAGAGGTGTGAGGCCCTGGGAAGGTGTCAGGATTTGCTAGAAGAGACTAGCACAGGCCGGCAGACAGCTCCGTTTGTGACCAGAACCCTCTCCAGAGGGTCTGCCTCCTAGAACAGCACTTCTGATAGTCAGTGCTTGTGAAGACCACTCCTGAAAGAAATCTCGTTAAATGTAGATCCAGGTGATCCAGTGAGGTGAACCATTCATACCTAACAGGTCCCAGGTCATGAACATTCCTTGCCTCACCATCCTTCTACTTGCTCCAGGGTAACTCCAGCAAAGTCCAGGCTGACCACCGCTTGAAGGTCAATATTTAGGAAAGAAATCAGTGGGAAGGAATAAGGTTTATCTAAGGGCTGCTCTGAAGGAGCTGGACAGGCTTGCATCCCTGTCAAAGCTTCACCTTGTGGGATTTAGGCGTGCACAGGGATTCTGTAGAGAGGAAGAAGCAGGGCAGGACCCTGAGTGGCATCTTCACTACTCAGAGCATATCTCTTGTTTCTTCTTCTTCTCAATGCATCATAATGATCCTGCACCTCCTGAAACCAGCTCCTGTACTTCTTTTTGGACCAGCATATCATGTTTCTGCAGGTTAAATCTTACCTCGGTTGACATGCTTTCTGTTAGTGGATGACCAGAACTGAAGATGGAGGAAATGGGTTACAAGGGTCACAGGGAGCTTCAGGTTCTGTAAAGCTGATGAAAGTTTATATGTCAGTTAACATCTTAGCCATTTGGGTGACCTTATCTCTAGGATTTAGAATGCTGGGCAAAAGCGAGAGAGTGACGTAAAAGGCTTAGGGAAGGGCAAGAGCCTTAGGGGGAGGGCTGCCCAGGACAACTCCCCAAAGGAGTGGCTTTGCGACACCAGGACTTCTCCTATCACAATAGGCCAGGTTTACGACAAGAGTTCTTAAGGAACAGTAAATAGGGTAGAAGTTTACCTGGCTAGGGAAGCAGGTGAACCCGAGTCTGATGTTTCTAAATCTGGGTCTGGGTTTCCAGCGCCCAGTCATGGATGTGTGTGGAAAAGCATAGGCATACATGTAGGCACGTGTATATAGTATATACACATGGTAACTGCTTAGTTGAAGGGTGTTTATGTTTGTGTTACTGGACAATAAGCGGATGCTGCCTGCTCTCCGTCTCTCTGTGTTATTGGGTTAGGATCCACGAGGCTTGTTTCATGAAGGACAGTGTTCAGGAGACAAGAATTAGCAGGAGGAGTCAAGTTTAGTCTGACCCTGAAGTGATGGAAGGTCATAAGCCACCCTTACAGCTCTATTCTGGGGAGCTTGGAGGTACACAGGACTTCTCTAGGGAGGGAAAAGAGATGTGCAGCAAGATGGCCATCTGTCCAGCAGGCCTTTGTCACCCAGAGTATGTCTCCTTTGTTCTTCTTTGGAACACTTCCATGGCCCTCCACCCTTGCTGTCAGCTACTACAGCTCTTTTTCTCTTATTTGGTTTTTTGACAGGTTGTAGTATTTATTGGAGAGCATGATGAAGCGGGGGGGGGGGGGGGGGGGGGGGGGGGGGGGCTCTGATGTGAAAGCATCCACAAGGCCAGGGCTCACAACCTGTCCAGGGGATCACAACTGGAGATTTATTTGACCCCAAAGCCACTGGAGATGAGTGGCTTCTCAACTACCATGTCTTCAGACCTTTCCACATTCATGTTGGTGAAGATGTTGATATGTTGCCAGGGAACTTGAATTTGATCCTGCCTTGGGCCTAAGTCACATGGTAGATGGCCATGATGACTTGACTGGCGTGAACCCTGGCTACTGGGCTCTGGGGTTTCCCAAAGGTACCCCCTGTACTTCTCTTTAGCCTAGAGTGGGGACAGCACAAGTCTGAGACACAAACATTTGGTGGAAAACAGAGTCCTCAGGGTCCCTTTGGGCACCATAAGCAATGTTATGTGCACTGCCAAGGAGGCGACCCATGTGGCCACTGAGTACTATAGTTCTTTGTGGCTAGACATAGACTTCTCTGCAAGTTGAACCTCACATGGGTTTGTATGCTGAATGTTGTCAGGTCCATAGAACGGAAGACTGAAGACAGCCCTATACAAAGGTCACCAGATGCTCTGGCTTCTGTAAACGGAAAGAATTATTTAGCAGTTAACATCTTAGACATTTAGGTGGGGCTTCCCTCTAGAATTTAGAATGTCTCGAAAAAGGATTAGGGAAGGGTGGAAGGGCAAAGGAGGGGAACATTAGCAGCTCTGTAAGGACAACTCCCCAAAGGAGTGGCCTTGAGCACCTGGGCAGGCGCTTTGTGCTTTACAGTTGGCGGATGGTATAATGCACTGTCTGGGACAAGTGTTGAGTTGTCAGGACACCTGTACAATAGACACAAACCAAGACTGTTCTGGAAAACTAGCCTGTTCTTGTCTTTTTCTAGAAACTTTATGTACGAATGTGCTTCCTGCAGAATGTCTTAAAGGTTTTCTGGCTCTACACACACATTCTTGGGGTAGGCATGGAGAACAGCAGAAGGACTAAGGTGAAGCGAGTCCACGGTAGTAGGACTGTCTTGTTCAGGAGGGCTCCATGTACGATTTTATGACTTAGAGGTGACATGAAAGACATAAGCATTCAGTAGAAACTGTACTTCAGATTTTTAATTTTAATCTTCTTTTCAGCCAGCACTTCGTGGTGTGACCACCTTTCAAGACACTGGACAGAGGGAGGCTGTGAGACCATTGTCTTCTCACAAGTCAATGTCACAAGGTGTACTACCCCAGGTGTGACATCTCACTACCTTGTAGCTCAGGAGGTCAGTACTGAATGAGTTTTCAATTTACCATGGGCTTGTTAGGCTGTCACCCCATCATAACGGAGGAACATCATTATTTCCCAGTTACTGAAAGCATGCCTTTTCTCTTTCTATCTGTGTTCTTTTGCCTCAGTTTCCCCCGTAGTCACTTGTGGGGGGTGTTGAGATGTGCGTGGTAGGGTCTTGGAGGGGAGCTGCCGGTGAATGTTGGCATCTCATGGTTCAGGGAACAGGTAAGAGAGAATGTGTGCCTTGGAGGCCATGGTGATTTACACGCCCTGTAAAATCATGCAGGACACGTCCTGCTGAAGGAGACTGGGTACGCCTGTGTGAATGTCCAGGTGAAGGGAAGGAAAGGTTGGAACACGAAAGAAAGGATTGGTTCTGGGGTGCTTGGGCTGTTCTCAGCCAGGTACTCTGAAGCAGGCCAAACCTGGAGAAGGTGAAGCTCCAGCCGACCTGGGCCAGAGAGACTGAAGGAAGTCCAAGAGCAGCGGGCGGACTGTAGGGACAAAGAAGATGGCAGAGGAGCTGACTGAGTCTTGAGGTACTGGGTTCGGGCCTTCAGGCCAGTGTGATCTTATTCCTCAGCACTGGCTGGTTCTAGTCTTACCCCAACTAGACACGGCAGTACTTTCATGCAGGTACTCAGGGATAGACCAGACTCCAGTGGCTAGAAAGTCAGGTTTCTGTCTGGGTAAAGGCTTCAGCAAGCCGGACTTTCTATGACATCAGCATAAGGACTTGAGTGCAGGCCAGGGGGCCGAGCTCTTGGAACACTTAGGCTGGGAGCAGGGACAGAAAGCTGAGGGTTTCTAAGTCAGGGTATATGAGGCCTCAGCCTCTAGCTAGCCTCTGAGGATGTTCCATTCACATCTCGTCAACATTTCCCCTTCTGTGGAAATGCTATTTTCAGCTTTCCGTGTCATTTTCCCCCTGCACATTACTGGTCATAGAAGAAGGGCTATGGTGCTTCCCAGGAGCACAGCCCCACCCCAGACAGTGGAGGAACCAGCTTTGTAGCAGTCACAGGGATACTGTGGGAAACATCTTACTCTATGTAGAAAGATACAGTCTTTCATTTTGAGTTTCCTCTGTGTGGAATACACACTACACTCAGATCTCTCTCTCTCTCTCTCTCTCTCTCTCTGTGTGTGTGTGTGTGTGTGTGTGTGTGTGTGTGTGTGTGTGTGTGTGTGTGTGTGTAGAGGCCTGATTTTAATATCAGGCATCTTCCTTAATCACCCTCCACTTTGGATACTGAATAAGGGTCTCTCACTGAGCACAGTGCTTGCCCATTTAGCTAGTCTGGTTATCTAGCTTACCCTGGGGATTTCCTGTCTCCTTCTCCTACACACTGGGATTACAGGTGGGCTTCCACACCCACCCAACATTTATGTGGGTGCTAGAGATCCAGGCTCCAGTTCTCATACTTGCACAGCAAATGCTTTCTCCAGTAAACTGTCTCCCAAGTATGAGATTCAAATTTCACCGAGGAAACAACATGGGTTCAAGAGCTGAGACAGGAAGGCTGGGGACGCAGTTCAGACAGTAGAGTGCCTGAATAGGATGCACCAAGTGCCAGGTTTCACCTAAAGTAGCGTATAAAACTGGGTGTGGCCAGGGAAACGTGGCCCATGGAACCACCTAAGCAGGGCTCATGTGGGCTCACAGGGACTGACGTGGCAGGCATGGGGTCTGCATTTATTCATTTCATTTTATGTGTGAGTGATTTGCCTGCACGTATGTCTGTGTGCCACATGTGTGCTTGGTGCCCACAAAGGCCAGAAGAGGGCATTGGATCCCCTGGGACTACAGTTACAGACAGTTGTGAACCACCACGTGGATGCTGGGAACCGAACCTGGGTCCTCTGCAAAAGAAACATGTGCTCTTAACTACTACATATCTTCAGCCCCTTGAGTTTTTATTTTTTAATTAAGATTTTTAGGCATAGTCTCATGTATCACAGGCTTGCTTCCAGTTCACTATATGGCCAATGGTAACCTTGAACGTCTGATCCCTTTTCTCTGCCTCCAAAGTGTTAAGATTACAGGCATACACCAACCACACTTCATTATGTGCCATGCTGGGGATTGAACCCAGGGCATTTTTGCACACTAAGCAAGCACTCTACCAACTGAGCTACATCTTCAGTTCCTTTTAGTTTTGAGAAACAACACAATTGCTTAAAAACATTATCAAATAGACTTTAGACGACTCTTTGATCTGATTAAATGCTTTTAGCAATGTGGCAAGATTCAAAAATCTGCATATAAAAAACAGTAGCTTTTCTATATACCAATAACCAACTCACTGAGAAGGAAGTCACATGCCATTTGTAAAGCATAAAATGGCCTTCGTTCAAGCAACATGACAAGAGGAAGAAAGAAAAGATACACAAACAGAGAAGGGAGAGGTTAACTGTCCCTGTTTGCAGATGACGTGACCTTGTACTTAAAAGACCTTAAAGATAGAGGAAGCCTCTCCTGGAGCTTGTCACTGGGGAGGCTCCAAGGGACTCCCAAAGCTGTGTAGGTGACTGCCATTCCCTTGGCTGCCGCCTCTCAGATCTCGAAGGTAAATCTTTGCTGCTGAAGTTATTCACACTTTGGACACAGAATTTGGAGGAATTGAGCTGGAACTGCCCCGGAAGCCTCCTCCCTGAGGACTTGTCTCTCATAGTATCAGAAGGAGCTATGCTGGCTGCCAAGGAAGAAAAGCAATCAATAGTCCTACCCAGCCGTAAAGCCTCCAGACCACAACAATGACTAACTCAGCAGGATGTGGCGCAGTAGTGGCACCTTTACCTGGGGTTAACCAACAGCTGTCTCATTGGACCTAAGGCCCCACTCAACGGGAGGGAATTAACACTTAGGACTGGAAATTTAATCAACCAGCTCCTAGAAAGAGCAAAGATCTTCGAGAAGAACCAGCTACTACCATGTTCCTGAAGCAATACAGTTTCTAACTGTATTAAAATACTCTTCTTTATCCCCATAGATAATGTAGCTCTCACCCCTCATCAAAGAAACTTCTTTTCCCAGCAGACGGAGACTACTACAGTGATCTACAACTGGCTGAAAATGCAGAGAAAGGGTGCCCATCCCCCACTGACATATCTACAGTGAAGCCTCTACATCTTTGGCTCAGGGAACATCCTGAGGGAGAGTGCAGAAAGACTGTAAGAGCCAGAGGATCAGGATACCTGCTGCTAGATCGTATCTTCTGGAAATGATAGTGGAAATGCACCCACAAAATCTCAACAATATGGTTGCCTAAACAAGACCAGCATAATAAGAACACTAGTCAACATGCCAATATGAATGGGTGCTGTGGATATCGCTCTGTATAAATAAAATGCTGATTGGTCAGTAGCCAGTTAGGAAGTATAGGTGGGACAAGCAGAGAATTCTGGGAAGTGGAAGGCTGAGGCAGAGAGACACTGCCAGCTGCCACCATGACAAGTGAGATGTAAGGTACCAGTAAATCACGAGCCACATGGCAACTTATAGATAAATAGAAATGGGTTGATTTAAGATATAAGAACAGTTAGCAAGAAGCCTACCACGGCCATACAGTTTATAAGTAATGTAAGTCTCTGTGTGTTTACTTGGTTGGGTCTGAGCAGCTGCGGGACTGGCAGGTGAGAGAGATTTGTCCTGACTGTGGGCCAGGCAGGACCAGGAAAACTCTAGCTACAAATGGGCATCTTCATAAGGGTCCATTACTAGGTTAAGAGCTACAGGCAATCAATGACTTCTGAGAAAGGGAGACTCAACCTTCTTCAGGGATGAGCCAGTCCTCTGATAGGTTATTCAGTCCCAAGTGGTCAGACCTTACGCACACAAGAGCAATATTAAATGTATTCAGGAGGTGTGTGTGTGTGTGTGTGTGTGTGTGTGGTGTGTATGTGTGCGTGTGCAGACGTGCGTGTGCGTGACAATAATAATTGTAGAAGGTGAGGTCATAAATTTGGAAATGTGAATTGGAAATCAATATAAAGATTCCTCAGGAAAAAAAAACAAACACCGAAACTAGAGCTATGATATGTCCCAGTTCTACCATTTTTGAAGGACTGCAAGTCAACAAACTACAGAAATACTTTTATATTCATGTTTCTTGCTGCAATATTTTCATAGACAGGAGATAGAACCAGACTCGATATCAATCAAGAGATGAATGGATAAAGAAAACATGAAACATGCATATTCACAGTGGAATTTCATGCAGCTGTAAAGAAAAAACTGAGGTCATGACATATTCAGGAAAATGGATAGAACCAGAAATAACTGCTAAGTGAAATAAGTGACTGAAAAACACAAATAACACATCCTTTTGTTCATACATGGAACCATAATTTAAAATTGCATGTGTATTTGTGTGTTTATTTATGTGAGTGTTTGTAGGTCATGGAACTAGAAATTAGATCACAAGAAGGGGGAGGTTTTAGGAGAGGTGAGAATTAAAAAGGGTAACAGAAGCCTATCACAGAAAAGCAGAAGGGTGTGAGTGTGATGGAGTTTGGGGTGGCAAGATGGTTCAGAGGATAAAGGTGCTCTCTGTTAGCTGGATCCAGCTGGATCCCCAGTACTCATGCAAAAGTGCAAGACAGAACTAACTCCACAAAGTTGTCTTTTGACCTCCACAGGAGCACTGAGGCATGCAGACCCTATTCCCACACCATGCAGGCACATGCACAGTGATAACACATGAAATCAAACAGCAACAACAGAACAGGAAGTTCAGCAAGGGAAGAAAGGTAGCCATCGGACCAGGGAGAGCCGTGGGGAAAGGGGCTGAGTGGAAACAAATGTTGGGACACGTATGCATGAAGAGGGCAGAATGAAACCCAGCAATTGGTATGTTAACCCAAAAGCTACTAGTAAAAATCTTTACTTTCCAACCTAGACTGCTGGCGCATTCCTGTAGTCCAAGCACCAAGGAAGCTGAGGCTGGAGGATTACCATTTTGAGGATAGTCTGGGCTAAGGCCAGCCTGG